ATTTTCTGTGGCCGTTTGCGGTGAGGTACGCGGCGCATCAGCTCAACCTTCACCCCCGGGTCTCTCGGCCAGCGATGTCCCCAGCCTTGCTGTGGACGGGGAAGGTTGGCGATGCGTCTGTGTTCCGTGTCTGGGGATCTCGGGCGTTTGTCCGCGACTTGTCTGCGGACAAGCTGTCCCCTCGTGCTGCTCCCTGTGTCTTCCTTGGCTTTCCCCACTGACGCCCCAGGGTGGCAGTTTTACCACCCCTCCTCTCGTCGTGTTCTGTCCTCCCAGGACGTCACGTTCGACGAGGCAGTCCCCTTCTACCGTCTCTTCACCTACCGCACTCCTTCCCTCCCCCCTCCCCCGGACTTCCTTGTGCCGGTTACCCCCCCCGGTAGACCCCCTCCCCCCTCAGGTTCCTGCCCCCTCAGGTGTGTCCCCAGGTAGACGCCGTTGACCGGTCGAGGTACTGGTGACTCTGGTGCTGCTGCGGGTGCTGAGCATGGGGGTGCTGACTCTGGGGTGCTGTGCGCGGGGGTGCTGAGCCTGGGGGTGCTACTGCTGGGGTGCTGGGCCTGAGGGTGCTACTGCGGAGGGTGCGGAGCCTGGGGGTGCTGAGCCGGGGGGTGCTGTGCCTGGAGGTGCTGGGTCTGGGGTGCTGGGTCGGGAGCTGCTGAGCCTGGGGGTGCTGAGCTGGGAGCTGCTGAGCCTTGGGGGTGCTGCGTCTGGAGCTGCTGAGCTGGGGTTTCTCCTGCTACTGCGTCTCGCCGGGAGCCCCTCTCTCCACAGGAGCTGCGCGAGTGGTTCGCTCGCCGCTGGAGGCGTGCTGCTGAGTCTGGAGGTGCTGCTGGAGCTGGAGCTGGAGCTTCTTCGACCGTCGAGGGTGCTGGGTGCAGCCGGTTCCCGGAGCTGCTGGCCCTGCAGGTCCTCCTGGAGTGGAGCTGCTGAGGGCGTTCGTGCTGAGCCTGCTGCTGTTGGTCTGGCCGCTGGAGGTGTGGGTGGCGCTGGTGCTGTCGCTGAGGGTGCTGGTGCTGTCCCTGCTGAGTCTGGAGCTGCCGCGCGGCCTCGGCCGTACTTCGTTCCGCTCCTGCAGCAGGTTCTTGGTCTTTCTCGTCCAATAGAGGGTCCACCGCCTGTCCAGTCGCAGCCCCTACTGGAGCCTTCCTCTCCGCTGCCTGCTCCCTCTCCTTACACTGGTCCTACTGGAGGTCTTGCTGAGCGTCTGAGCCTGCGTCTCGTCCCGCGTCGCCTGTTCGTGCTGCTCGCGCTAGTGGTCGCATTTCGCGTCAGCGTCCTCCTCCTGTCCCTGGCACGCACCGGATGTCTTTACGTCCGTCCACTGCTCCTCTGCGTGCCCCTTTTGCCTTCTCCTCCTGAGTCCTCTCTTCCTGCACTTGCGGACCCTGAGTCGGACTCTCTTCGTGCTGCAGTCCCACTGTCACGCGTCTGCTTGCTACTGTCAGTCACTGACCCCTCTTTTGAGTCCACTACTGCGTCTGCTCTAGTCGCTGAGCTCGTCGGACTTTGCTGCTCGCTGTCGTCTCGACTACGCTGCTAGTCTTGTTGCTGAGTCTGCGTCTGTCTGGTCCTCCGTCCGTCGGGGGTGAGTGTGCTCTTGGCACGGACGTCCTAGAGGACAGGCAGGAGGAGTTACAGTGTCTAGCGGCCTGCTTCACCTCATCTCGCGTCTGTACTGCTTGCCCCTGAGGGAGACCCGGATGCACTAGACATCCCGACTCCGCGTTCTTACGCGGAGGCCGTAGAGGGTCCCTACTCCTCTCAGTGGCAGGCAGCTATGGATGCAGAGATGGCTTCCTGGAAGTCCACAGGCACCTACGTTGACGCGGTTCCCCCTCCTGGGGCGAACATCGTCAGTGGCATGTGGATCTTCAGGGTGAAGCGGGCCGCCGGGCTCTCCACCTGTCTTCAAGGCACGGTACGTTGCTCGTGGCTTCAGTCAGCGGCAGGGAGTTGACTACTTTCAGACCTTCTCTCCCACCCCGAAGATGACTACTCTTCGGGTGCTGCTGCACATAGCCGCTCAGCGCGACTACGAGCTTCACTCTCTCGACTTCAGCACTGCGTTCTTGCAGGGTAGCCTGCACGAGGAGATCTGGCTTCGCCGTCCACCTGGCTTCACTGGGACTTTCCCTCCTGGCACCCAGTGGAGCCTCCGACGGCCAGTCTACGGTCTCCGCCAGGCACCGCGTGAGTGGCACGACACACTGAGGACTACGCTTGCGGCTCTTGGGTTTGCTCCTTCTACTGCTGACCCGTCGCTTGTTTCTTCGCACCGACACTTCCCTGCCGCCGTTCTACATCCTCGTGTACGTCGACGACCTGGTCTTTGCCACAGCGGACACTGCTGGACTCGCCTACGTGAAGTCCGAGCTGTTGAAGAGACACACGTGCACAGACCTGGGTGAACTGCGCAGCTACCTTGGCTTGCAGATCACTCGGGACAGAGCACGCCGCACCATTACCTTGACTCAGTCACACATGGTGCAGCAGGTCCTTCAGCGCTTCGGCTTCACGTACTCCTCGCCTCAGGCCACTCCTCTGCCTACTCGCCACTCACTCTCAGCTCTGCCTTCGGATGAGTCCGTAGAGTCGAGTGGTCCTGTATGCGGAGCTTGTTGGCTGCCTCATGTACCTGATGACCTGCACACGACCTGACCTTGCATACCCTCTGAGCATTCTTGCACGCTATGTTGCTCCTGGGAGACACAGACCGGAGCACATGGCCTGCAGCGAAGAGGGTATTGCGCTACCTGTGCAGTACGTCAGGCATGGGCTAGTGCTTGGAGGGCGGAGTCAGTAGGTCCTTACCGGCCACGCGGACGCGTCTTGGGCTGACGACCAGGCTACGCAGCGGTCGTCACAGGGTTACACCTTCAGCCTTGGTTCCGGCTCTGTCTCGTGGCGGTCTACTCGCTCGTCTTCGGTTCTCGGCTCCAGTTGTGAGGCTGAGATCTACGCCGGGGCCATGGCTGCACAGGAGCTTCGCTGGCTCACCTACCTGCTGACTGACCTTGGAGAGCCGCCTCGTTCTCCTCCAGTGCTGTACGTAGACAACAAGGCTATGCTGGCCTTGTGTCGAGAGCAGCGCTTGGAGCACAGAACGAAGCACATTGCTCTCCGCTACTTCCTTGCTCGTGAGCTTGCAGCAGCGTGGTCAGTTGCGACTTGCGTACGTGGCCTCTGAGGCCAACACTGCTGATGTGTTCACCAAGGCACTTGCGCCTTGTGACCATCAGCGCTTCTGCACCCAGCTGGGTCTTGTGCCTGTCTTGCCTCACTTGCTCTCCTCTTGACTTCACTTGTACTGTGACATATATATATACCTGCTCTTGCTTGTCTAGCTTTATATATATGTCTGTACTCTTGCTTGTGAACTGGCCTTTGGCCTTGCTCTTGTGCTCGGACTGTGTGGTGACTTTGTGATCCACCCTGAGCTTTGCTTTGTCTTGCTTGACTGGTCTTGTGACCCCTTGTTCTCCCCCACTTTGCCTATGGGGGTGTGTCAGAACATATCTATAGCTTATACTGCTGTGTAGGCTGTAGTGGGGTATCCCATAGGGGGTACAACCCAGTTAGGGTTTCATATTTGTACTGCTTTCATTCATAGTTCATTCATTCCTGTTTTCCTATTCTCACACAGACATCATGTGAGTACAACATATAACGTGACTGTTTGCCCGTTGCAGCAGATCTTTTTTGGTGTGGTGGCGAAAGATACACGTGGGAGCACGTGCCGCGAAATGTATGATGCATACATTCCAATAATCAAGGGGAAACACCCACACCACGCCTTGTTCACGCGTCAATCACGCCCAAGGGAAGAAAGATCCGGTAACAGACGAAACCGGAAAGTGTTCCTGATCAATCAGAGGAACGTGGAAAACGTGTCTGATGGATCAGTCACTGAGGAAATTCATTTTGAATGAACAGATTTTACCAATTGCAAGTTTCTGAACCATCAGATTAAATCAAAACATTACCTTCAAACATAGGACAAACATTCAAAAAATTTCTGCTAGCGACAACCCTGCCTCCAATATCCTAACTATAAGTTATGGGAGGGAACTTGGATTATTTGGGCATCCATAGCAACTGGGACATAATCTGGTCGCCCAGATGATATCTCATTGCTGGTTTTGTCCTGAAAATCGAAGCCTCAACTATCGCACACCCAAGCGAGCCTGCTACGTCATTGTGTGCTGGCGTGGCAGTCTTGATGTTGGCAGCTGCCCGACATCTTCCAGGCCATCCCACCCAGTCGCAGTGATGTTAGCGAGCTTAGCTAAGTATCAGCCACACTGATTATTGACATCCTTCGGCCAGGCCACCTATTCACCTTCTAGTTGATTTCAACCAACCATACGAATCTCCTTTGCCAGCTAACCCACCCCCCATCAGCATGATGTTTTACTGTTTTCGCATGTAGGACCTACTACCAAGTCTGTGGAGCTTCAAAAAGCCAGTCGAGGAGCTAAGCGTGTAGTCGTCTTACACTGCTCCTTAGCGTCCAGACCCAAGGACGACGTCGGCCGTACCGCGGCGGTAGTTCTCACAGGTCGTCCTTAGCGTTGAAAATCGCGAGACGCTATGACGCTGGGGAGGCCTTGTTGCGCGCTTGGCGCGGCAGAACGCCAAGTCGGTTGCGTCAGGAAAGCTTCCTTTTAGGACATTTGTGACCGGATCTACTCCCGCGCTTGCTGCTGCACCTAAGGGCCTGCAGCAGTTCTCAATATACCGATGGGATCCCGACCAGAACGAGAAGCCGCGTCTTCAGACCTACACCATAGACACAAAGGAATGCGGACCCATGATTCTTGACGCTCTGATTAAGATTAAGAACGAGGTCGACCCGACTCTCACATTCCGCAGATCTTGCCGGGAAGGGATCTGCGGTTCTTGCGCGGATGAACATTAACGGCGCGAACGGCCTCGCATGTCTCACCAAGATCGAAGCATCTCCTGGAGCTTCTATTCCAATCACTCCGTTACCCCATATGTTCGTCATTAAAGATCTCGTGGTGGATATGACTCAGTTCTACCAGCAGTATAAGTCCATCGAGCCGTGGCTGAAGACCAAGAAGCTGCCGGAAGATGGAAAGGAATTTCTTCAGACTAAGGAAGACCGGGCTAAGCTTGACGGCATGTATGAGTGCATCCTGTGCGCGTGCTGCAGCACCTCGTGCCCCAGCTATTGGTGGAACCCTGAGAAGTACCTCGGACCGTCTGCGCTTCTGAATGCCAACAGGTATTGTAATCCAGCCAGTCGTTTGTTCATTGTGCCATTCTGGTGCTCTGTTTTTTTTCTTTTTCGTTGCGTCTAATCGTAGTATTCGTTCCTTTTTCTTCCTGTTGTTTCAGGTGGATCATGGACAGCCGTGATGAGTATACCAAGCAGCGGCTTGATGATTTGAATGATCCATTCAAGCTGTACCGTTGCCACACCATTATGAACTGCACCAAGGCGTGTCCCAAGGGGTTGAGTCCAGGAAAACAGATCGCCAACATCAAGCGCCTGATGGTGACCAAAAGCTGAATGTTTGTCACTGTTGAGGATTATATGCATGTGTACATGTATTGATACACATAAGTCAAGACACCGGAAGTCACAGATGAATTGTTCCATTTGTAGTACCATAGTGCACTTTCACTCTGGCACAAGTGCTATTGTGAAAGAACAAACATTATATAATCTCTACATATACATTCTTCAGGGACATCAAATTTCATTTTCTGCTAACATCAGCAAAACCTGGTACAGTACTTGGCGAATGTAAATACGGTAGCAGAATACACGGGCTTGGACTAAGCGACTTCAGGCAGACACGACCCCGACTTAATACACCACTTGACAGCACGAATCTGCCGGATCAAAGACAGGATCTACCTTCCCTGCCTCCATCGGCTTCTCAGTCCCAGAAAACACATTGGCCATATCTGGCAGCTTATCCTTCAGGTGCTGGAGAACATGCCACATGATGTCCATGCGCTCCACAGGTTGCTTGCACTGCCAAAAAAAAAAGAGTAATCACTTCAGTCCCCCGACCCGACTAACTACAACGCACAAAACCTCCTGTTCTGTGTCCTAATGACTGACCTCGCAGACAAGGGACAGGAAACACTATCAGGAGATGCAAGGACTCACCTCAGCAATAATGTGTGCCTTGACACGGCCACCAGAGGACTTGACTGATGACTTGCGAACCACCAGCCCAATCTGGCGAAGTCCGTCAGCAAGGTCAATCGGCACAGTGCTACCAATCCATTCCACCTGCACAAAAAATAGTTATCACTATTTAGCGGATCTGGACGACATAATTTAAAGAAAGTTCATACAAAAAAGCCTCACACTGTTCACCTTAATTTGAACTAGGGTCGGTGAAAGTTGTTGCACAGATACTGGGCATTCATTCATACATTCATCAAAACTCTTCTCCGCCTGCGTTCAAACAAAAACCATGCAAGTTAAAAGACTGAATGAAAGGAGGGGTGAGGCGCCAATGGATCTTAAAAAGTTTATGACTCACCAGCATTGCTTGGCCTTCGTCAATGTCTGCACGGAGAGCTGAAAACTCCCTCAAGAACACAAGATGTTGGATTGTGCGTTCCAGCAGTCCATCAATACTCAGCTGCAGGAAACAAAAAAAAAGTCAAATCAGAGAAAGAAAACGAAAAAAGAAACATAAGTCTGAATATCAGAGCAGACATACCCTTTCAGAGTTAGGAACTATCCCTCGCAGATCCTTCACGCGATCTTGAATCAGCTGCCTATCACGAGGCCTCTGCTTCGGCTTCTCCTCCCTCCCCCTCTTCTTCGTCCCCTTCTTCTCATCCTTCCCAGCAGCAGCAGCAGCACCACCACCACCACCACATAGCTCTGGCACACCGAGCTCCTGCACGCCGGAGTTTGCCGATCGATCTGGCAAGGCCTTGAACGCAGCCTCAGACTTGAACACGCCCTTCCCACTGGGCTCCACGCTTCTCATACCTCTTCCGCTATCCCCCGCAGCCTTCGCAACAACGCTAGCCCTGCTCTGAAGCCCAGGCAGACTCCCAAGCTTAGCGCCTGACGCCATACCAGCACTGGCCGCTTCCGCTGCTGCAGAAGCAGCTCCGGCCACGGGATTGTGAGTGCTGCGGACCTGGCTTTGCTGCAGCTCAGCCAGGCTCAGGCGAGGCAGCAACCCAGACGTCCGCATGAGAGCTTCCAGGGTCGCCATTCGTTCCATTTCCGCCAGGCTGTTCCCCATCCCCGCTCCTGCTTGCGCCCCCGCCCCCACAGCGCCGTTCACTGCGCCTGCCCTGCTCAATGACGCACTCAGTTCGTCAAAACCAAGAGCACTACCGACAGCAGGGGCCACTCCAGCCCTGTGCTGCAGCTCTTGTGGTTGCGGCAGCCCCGAAGTCATGGAGAACCCTCCCCTCGACGCACTGGCATCAGCACCGCACCTGGCGCCTCCAACAGCCCCTGCCTGGTCGAACGCGCCGCGGCTCATTGCGCTTCCCATCTGACCGTTGGCAGAGCCTTGATTCGCGCCAATGTCCGCCAGATTTGCCAGGTCAGCGAGGTCAGCCAAGTCAACGGGCAGTTGCCCTGTGAAGTGCAACCCCAGGGCCTGCGCGAGCTCATCTGCGCCGCCAAACGCGGAGGAACCCCCCAGCGCTTCACCGCCGGTGCTGTTGAACTGAGACGCCCGCGCAGCAGCGTTCCCGTTCCGATTGCCAGCCATGCCGCTCCCAGTCATGCCGCTCGCAGTCATGCCGCTAGCAGTCATGCCCGCGAGCAGCTGCTCGTCCAGACCCGAAAAAGCGCCGGCAACACCAAGGCTTCTCCGCGCAGGCGCGCGCTCGGACGCAGAACCAATCCCCGCCGCCATGGGCTTCTGCGCGGCGGAGCTCCTGGAGGGGAGGTTGGCGAGGGACAGCGATTGGTCGTTGAGGAACTGGTCGTGGAAGATGCGCAGCTCCTTCTCCAGATCCACCACCGCCTTCCGCTTCGCCGCTCCCGCTCCCGCGGCCGCCTCTGCTCTTCCCAGCAGCTCGCCAGACGGGCCGAGCACGTGCGCGGAAGCTTCGGTCGGAGGCGATTGCCTGGACGACAGCGATGTGTGCTCCACAGGGCTGTGATTCAGCGAGTTGGAGGGAAGAGTCGGACCGCTGAGAGGGAGGTCCGAGTCGAAGAAATTCAGCTGAATCTGGTTAATGGCGACGGACGCTCGAGTCGTCCTCTCCGGAGCGACCTTCGCTCGCTTTGCCGTGCTCGAGTAATCGGTCAGCGACGCTGCTTCTTGCTTCGGGTCCGCTGGCGGCTTCAAAGCCGCGGAGCCCATGAACCGAGAAGCGTTCTGGTCGTCGGCACGACAGTCGGATGGGATGCCGAGAATGCTGAAGAGATCCGACGGCGAGGAGGCGGCCAGCTGATTCCCCGCGAATGGGCGAGATGGAGCTGGAGGAGCGGCAGGAGGAGCAGCAGCTGCAGGGGCAGGCAATCTGTAGGCTTTGCGGGTTAGACTGGACTGAACGACGGTTGAGAGCTCCGGGGAAGGAGACGCCGAGGAAATCGGACTGCGGGTTGGGATTGCCAAGAGACGCGGCGATGTCGGGAGGGAATCCGGCGGCTGCAAGCGCGGTTGCGTCAGGCGTGGGAAAAGATTTCGCTTTCAGGGCATTGTCGGTGAAGAGATCGGATAGAAACGCTCCGGGGACTGTTTGAAGCGCCGCGAAGAGCGAGCGGATGTGAGAAACGAATTTCAAATCCTCTGGCATCTGCAGAACACGGAGAGACACCAAATGTTAACCCGGGAAGCCCAAAAGTCGATCTACTTAACGGCGGAAACAGCTTTCGAGACTGACCGATCGACTGGAACCGAGTTGTAAGACTCCCTCCGGAACGGCGATGATGGCAATAGTCTGTCAAGACAAAAACAGCAGTTTCGTAGCGTTAGTAGACCGAAACCAGCAAGCGGTTCACAAGTTCGAACAGAATCTACGATACGCACCTTCACTCCAGCAGCAAATTGATCATCCCATCCAGATGGATACTGGTAGGAGAAAAAACACAAGGAAGACTCACGTCAGAAACACCGCCTAGTACAAACGGCAAGACCAACAAAGTTTGCTGGGAAAATCAGATAAGCATGGAAGTTAGATAAACACCTTGTCGACACCCGTGCAGCCCCCGTATCCCTTCATGGACGAAAATCCCGGGCGAGAATCCATGCCCGGGACTCCTTGAGATCGCGGAGCAAATATCCATTGATGCTTCCCAGAGAAAGCCACTCTTCCCACAACTCTGAGAAGCAGAAGAAACATTAGGGATGATCTGAGTCGCCAATGGTAACAGCAGACTTTCCAGTTTCAATGATGCTGCACAGTCAGGCACGGATAAATTTCGAGAGACAAGCCGATTAAGACACTGTCTTGAGTTACAGGAAACCTAGACACTAACGAACTAGTGCTCACCCTTCTCCGAAAGAATATATGTGATAAGACATCTTCGCGACCGCCATGCCGAGAACGTTCCCGTCAATGCTGCTAATATCCGCGCTCTGCTCCTTTTGAGTCGCTCCCGGGGGATCCATCGAACAATATCCATCCTCCCAAGTCAAGACCCTGAACCAATTAGTGGGAAGCAGCGTTAGCAAACACGATATTGCTGAAACTGCTGGAAAACCTGTAAGGATGTGAAAATTCCCAACGTACATTCGGTTGCGTCTTTTGAGCTTCCAGAACACTGCATAGGTCCATCCATCTGGTGAGCATAAACTCCTAAGCGTCTGCCGTAATATAACCATGGTCGCAACCGCGGCTTCGTTGCCGACAAGTAGAGAATAAAACAGACTACTCAGACCCTTCGGAGATGCACCTCGCACCTCTCAAGCGTTTGTTCTACACACACGTCTGTTTGTCTACTGGGACCAAAAGTCACGGAGAATGAAACCCTAGAGCACACTGGAGTACGTATGACTTGTTGAATTGAGTGCTAATTAGACCAAAACTCAGACGGGAAGGAAGAAAATGGAACCTAAGGACCATAAACGGAGAACTAACCGTACTAAAGTCTGCTGGTAGTACTTGACGGCGCGTGGATGGGCTTAATGATTTGATAAGGCATAATAGGACTAGGGTTTGCTGATGTCTGAGGTGAGGAGGGATGCAGTTTTGATTGCCAGCGGAGAGGGTTTGCTCTCTGGACTGAAGGTCACAACCGACGGATCTCGATTCTTAGTCGCATCTCGGGCAGGAGGACGAAGCCAAAGTCGAATTGTGGTTGGCCTGGGATGAGCGGAAGGGTCAGGACTCAGGACTCTGTCGGTGAATGAGCAGCAGCAATGGCACTAGGAGGTGTCTCGACGATCTGCGGGGCAGACCAAGGCGAAATGTGACTCGAAGCCGAAGCCGAAGTAGTGACTGCATGAAACAGTCACTCCGTCGTCGTGTCGTGTGGGATGACAGGGTGGGGCGGGGGGTTGCTACAGTCGAACACCAGCAAGGAAAAACCGCGGCAAGGGGAAACCAACGGGCTGGCAAGTAACCTGCTTGCAGTTTGATGCAAAGATCCTATCACAGCAGCTCTGATTCTGTTCACATCACGAATCACTTCACCACCGTCGTGGGTCGAGGTCAGCATTTCCATTTGATTCGAAATACAAGATTATTCATACGCGTACACGTTGAGCACAGCCCGTTCACCAAAAAATGAGGCGCTGGTTTTGACTCAAATTGAGCTGTCTCTGTTGAACTTGTGACAAAACACGAGCTTCAGAATCAAGCGTTGTGGCGGCTCTCCCCTCAGCGATGGTTAGTTGTACAAGACCAGCAGATCCTGGAAAACTTTCAAGTTTGTACCCTTAACAGCTGCCTCTTTGCAATACATAAGAGATTCCGCATCCAGAGACAGGCAAATCATACATCCTGGGTGTACTCTTTTCAAGCTGCCTAATCAGATCCATGCTTGCCAGATTGATGTGGGTCAGGCGCTGCGTCAATTTTCCAGAGGCATCATCTTGGATTGGTTGGGTTTAGGGCGTTGCACAAGGCAGTTTCCAGGGATGTGGTGGCAATGAGGCACATTTTTAGTGGCGGCGAAAGAGGGAGGTGTTTCTGCAAGCACAAAATTTACCTCTAACAACAGCAGCTGCGTAAACCTCTAGAATCAGAGCATTTGCGCTCAGAACTTCTGATATCGATCAGCACGTACTGCATTTATCCATTATCTTACCGCTGGTTTCTAAGACCCGAACTAAAGAGCTTCTGGTAGTAAATAAACGATCAGGTTTATCGGCAGCAGCTGTGCGCACCAACTCTTGATCGTGTGAACTGAAACTAGCAGAGGCTTACTCCCCTAGACCCGGCAAGGCAAGGTGTCAACTTTATTATCGCTGTAAACGAGCTATGGGAAAGACTAAATACGTGGTCGTGACTGGAGGTGTCGTGAGCGGATTGGGGAAGGGAGTTACAGCAAGCAGCATCGGTGTTGTTCTAAAAGCATGCGGCCTCCGGGTCACTTCGATCAAGATCGGTACGAGAAATGTCGTGGATATGTATTTGATACGAATAGTTTGAATGCTCTCGTCGTAGCTACATGCCGGTGTCGCGTCATTTATCAGCCAGTTCGAGCAGTTGCTGGTACGGAGCACCAGATTCGAAGCCAGCACTGTGGTAACTCTGTCACCGCTTCGTTCGTTTCGCGATTGTTCGCAGATCCGTACATTAACACGGACGCGGGGACCATGTCGCCATTCGAGCACGGCGAAGTGTTTGTGCTGGATGACGGCGGAGAGGTGAGCGAGGGAGTACCGGGACTTAGAGGTGATCAGGATGTTTCAAGGGGAGAGGTTTAACAGGCTTTTCACCTCAGTCTGTTGCAAATAAAAAAACGTTCAACAGCTTTATGAAGGAAGCGCCGGTAGCTCATTTTGATCCCATTGGCGAAATCAGGTCTGCCGACGATCAGGCTCAGCATTCGAAGGCTACGTTTCCAGTTGTAAACGCTTTGGCCGGCATTGCGCCCCTGCTTTTCCTCCCGCATCAGGTGGATCTGGATTTGGGAAACTACGAGAGATTCCTCGACATCACGCTCACGCGAGATAACAACATCACGACTGGCAAGATCTATCAGGTAGCCTGCCTGCCTTGCCTTGCCTTGCCGTGCCTTGCCTTGGTACATACTCCCATTAGTCGTCTATCAGTCCGTACAGTCGTTTCAGCTCATTATTCCAGTTACTAGTCGTCAGATGCGTTTTGGGAATGGTCGATTCATCGTTTTGCCTTCCCCTTCCCACTCTGTTCCTTTCCACGTGGCAGTCTGTAATTGAACGGGAGAGGCGTGGTGACTACCTCGGCAAAACAGTCCAGGTGAATACGATTACGGCTATCCACAGCACGTGACCATTCCAAACCTGCATTTGGCAATACGATTGGTATGAGGTTTAATGTGATTGAACTAATATGATGCCGTTGTCTTCATATTGTATCAGCATTGTGGAGCATGACCGTTAACAGAAACCCTGGACCCGTTGCTGCCTTACCATGTGACATCTCAGGGCTTAACCACTGTCATGACAAAACCCTAACCCAAACCGAAACCCTCAACCCTTTCAACTTGATACATCTCCCCTCCACCTCCCACCGTTCACCCCCGCTTTTCTGCTGCCGCACATGAATACGGCCAATCAGCAGCTTTTAGCTCAAGGATCGGGGTAGGTAATGTCTGTGAACCTCCCTCCCCTCCTCTCCCATTCCCACGACCTTTCCCCTTCCGCTCCGCCTCACCCCACTCTTTCCTCTGTCCACCGGTGGTGGTGCCAGACACCACGTCCAACCAGGACTGGATAGAGTGAGGGGCACAAATTTCACTTGATGTCTTAAACCTCAAACCCTCTACCCTCTCCTTCCAACCCCACCCCTCAAACCTTTAACTCTCCCTTTCCCGCAGGTGGTACCGCACATCGCCACGGCCATTCAGGGCTGGATAGAGCGCATTGCGCAGGTTCCAGTTGATGCCTTCAACCCGAAACCCGCCAACCATGCCCCTCACCGCTCCCCTTTGCCCCTGCCTCTGTGCACCTCAGGTGGTACCGCACATAACTACGGCCATTCAGGACTGGATAGAGCGCGTGGCGCAGGTACCTGTGGACGGCAGTGGGGAGAGTGCTGACGTCTGTGTCATCGAGCTGGGCGGCACTATTGGTGCGTCGGACGGCAATGGTGTCCTTGCATGCAGCGCAGGGTGTCAATATATATATATATATCCGTGATGGGCTTGATTGTCTGGTGTTGTTGCCCCGGCCAGGCTGCCACCCGTGGATTTCAACTGATGTTTTCTCCCTCGTTCCTCTCCATGCACCCTTGTTTCCCGTACCTCTCTCCCCAGGTGACATCGAATCTATGCCCTTCGTTGAAGCTCTTCGTCAGTTTCAGTTCAGAGTCGGTACGTACCGTCCTGCCCTTCTTTAGAACCGTTACGTGCCTCTCTCCATCAGACCATCATCATCACTATCACTATCGTCCACGCCGTCTCTTGGTTACATGCCAAGCAAGGATATGAGTCAAGCAAGCAGGCGTGGTGAGGCACATGAGCATGCTGATGGTGCTGGGCGGTGATGGGATGTTCATTTGAGACCCAACCTCCCCTACCCTCTCATCTCTCCCTCCTCCTCCCTCCACCCATGCAGGGCAGGAGAACCTGTGTCTGGCGCACGTGAGTCTGGTGCCAGTGCTGGGAGTGGTGGTGGGAGGTTTAATCAGCTCCCATTTCCTACTTTCTCTTCTCCCCCACCTCCTTGCATTCGCTGTGCAGGGCAGGAGAACCTGTGTCTGGTGCACGTGAGTCTGATGCGGGTGCTGGGAGTGGTGGGCTTGGCCAACCATCACAACAATCTTCTTCCTTCTTCCTCCATTGCTTCCATCACAACAAGTCTTCTTCCTTCTTCCTCCATTGCTTCCATCACAACAAGTCTTCTTCCTTCTTCCTCCATTGCTTCCATCACAACAAGTCTTCTTCCTTCTTCCTCCATTGCTTCCATCACTCTCTACCTCCGTGCAGGGCAGGAGAACCTGTGTCTGGTGCATGTCAGTCTGGTGCCGGTGCTGGGAGTGGTGGGAGAGCAGAAGACCAAGCCCACGCAGCACAGTGTGCGCGAGCTCAGAGCGCTCGGCCTCATGCCCAACCTCCTCGCCTGCCGCAGCGCTGAGGTAACACATGCAACACGGTTAGGGTGTATTTACATGTACACGTATGACTTGTGAGTCGACTCAACAGCATGTGTGAGCTCAGAGCGCTCGGCCTCATGCCCAACCTCCTCGCGTACTGCAGCGCTGAGGTACACTTTCAACGTGCTTATTGTGTAACTGCGATACATGTACGAATGAACGTGTATGTATACATCTTTTTTCTCTCTTTTTTTTTTTGGTACCACTTGTCACTACATGGTCTGCCAGTCACCTCTGCTGGAGGTGACTGCAGAGGAGGATTTATGTTACACCACACACACACACACACACACACACACACACACACACACACACACATCCCTGGCCCCTATTGGCCCCTCGACTCCTGTCAACTTCTCTGTCCGACCCCCCCCCCCCCCCCCCCCCCCACACTCTTTCTCCCTCGGCCTTCGCATCTGTTCTCAAATTCCTGTGCTCGTTTCTGCTGTGCCCCCCCTAAATCCACCCTGCTTCTTCTCCTGCCAGCCCCTAGAACCCTCCACGCGAGAGAAGCTGTCGCAGTTCTGCCACGTGCCTGTGAGTGCCTGCAGGGGGATGGGGGTTCTGCCACGTGCCTGTGAGTGCCTGCAGGGGGATGGGGGTTCTGCCACGTGCCTGTGAGTGCCTGCAGGGGGATGGGGGTTCTGCCACGTGCTTGTGAGTGCCTGTAGGGGTGTTGGGGGAGGGGTTGGGTCTCACGGCACCTCTTGGGGCTGGGAAAGGGAAAGGGGAGAAGGGGTGGAGGGTTGTTGGGAAATACGTTCCGCACCACGTGGTGCACTCTCATGGGAGGCTTCGTTTCTTTGTCATGCTCTCGCTCTCGCATGCCCTCATGCCCGAATGCCTCTCGCTCGCCCACCCGCCTATGGATGAACGCAGGTGCAAAACGTGCTGAACCTGCATGACGTCAAGAACATCTGGCACATCCCGCTGCTGCTGCTCGTGAGTCTTGCCACCAACCCATCTCACATCCCTGGGTCTACCTTCGCGAGGAAAAAAAGGGATTTTATAAGGCTTGGTGGGATTTCATCTTGTATCTCTGAGTCCGATTGTTAGAATTGTCTGCTTCGCTTGGGCGCCAGCACCTACTAGAAGTTCCCCTCTCCTCCTCACTCCTCCCCATCCCCGCTTCTGCTAACTCGTTTCTGTCCCCCCTCTTCTTCCCCTCACCCCCCTCTTCTCTCCTCCTTATCCCATCCCGTCAACGCCCTCTCCCCCTCACACCCCTCTCTCTCCCTGCTTCTCTCTCGCGTGTCTCTCAGGAGCAAGGCGCCCATCTGTCCATTCTCAAGCAGTTCCAAATCGAGTACGTTCCCTGCCCTCTCACTGACCGAAAGTGTGAGCCACCCTCTTCTTGATTTAGCTTTCAACTCTGGAACCACGTGGATCTAGAGGGTGTGATCTCACTGACCGAAAGTGAGAGAGAGTGGCTGACCGAAAGTGAGAGAGAGTGGCTGACCGAAAGTGAGAGAGAGGGTGTGATCTAGATCTTCCTCCATCTCTGCACTCTTCTTCCGTGATTTTCGGGAATATACAATTTTTAAAGTGAGAGTGGCTGACTCATCCGACCACCAACCAATGCGGACCCTCCTGTCTGCCTGCCCACCACCCACCTCACAATACCTTTGTTATCCTCCGATGCAGGCCTTCCGAGCCTCAGCTCCAGGAATGGGCGCACCGAGCCAAGAGCTGGGACGAACTCACAGAGACAGTGAGTGCGGAGTTTGCTGGTGGTGTGAACATTGGTAGGTTGACTGTTGCTTGGTTGACCATTGCTCCCTCCTTCCCTCCCCTACACCCTGTTCCACTCCTTTCCAGCCCTTTGTGTGCCACGTCAGCAGGGTGAGAGTTGCCATGGTGGTCATTGTAGTCCTTGCTGAATTCAACAAAATATGTATATATATGTATATGTTTCTATATTTCCCCAATACCCATGGTCGGCCACGCAAGCAGGTGAGCATCGCCACATGGGAACCTTCCCATCCTCCCTCTTCTCTCACCTTTCCACCCCCCACCTCCTCGGCCGCCCATGTGTGCCATGCTATGCCATGCCACCAGGTGAGCATTGCCATGGAGGGCAAGTACACAGGCCTCTCCCCGTAACCCTCCCTCCCTCTTCTCCCACCTCTCCGTCCGTCTCTCCCACTTGTCTCGCCCATATCCACCATGCCACCAGGTGAGCATTGCCATGGAGGGCAAGTACACAGGCCTCAACCCCTAACCCTCCCTCTCTTGTCTCGCACCTCTCAACCCCCCCCGTGCCCTCTCTCCCTCACCTCTCCACCCCTCTGTGTGGCCCATGCCACCAGGTGAGCATAGCCATGGAGGGCAAGTACACGGGCCTCTCTGACTCCTACCTCCCTCTTCTCTCACCTCTCCAACCCCCCACCTCTCCTTTCTTCCCCGCCTCCCCACCCTCTCTGTGTGTGCCATGCTGTGCCATGCCACCAGGTCAGCATTGCCATGGTGGGCAAATACACGGGCCTCTCCGATTCCTACCTCTCAGTGCTCAAGGTATGCACTACACAGCCTGCCTGCCACGCTACAGCCTTTCCATTCTTTTCCATTCTTTTCATTGTGTTCCTTTCCCGTTGGCTTCCTTTCCAGTTGTTTCCACTCCACTCCTCCCTCATCCCCTCTCTCTGCGTGCAGGCGCTACAGCATGCAGCCATGGCAAGTGGGCGAAAGCTCATCATCGAATGGGTGGCATCATCTGACCTCGAGAATGCTGCCAAGCAAGAGGTGCGTGCAGTCCCTGCCAGCCATATGCTGCCAAGCAAAAGTGTGGGCTTACAGCTTCCAGTCTCACGTCTCCCCCCAATACCAGCCAACACAAACCGTTTGAGATTTCAAAACAACACGAGCTGATTGAAGTAAGGCCTCCGCCGCAGCCCGCCTGTCCGTTACTGACGCGATTAGGCAACACAAACTGTCTGAAATTTGAAACCTGCAACCAACTCTCCAGCCTAATACTCCCTGCCATCTTTTGCCACGTGGTTTCCATGCCTCCTACTGTGCGCCCCTTCATGCTCCCACCAGAGTCCAGACCTGTATAATGAAGCCTGGGCAGCCTTGAAGGTGAGTGTTCATGCACTCACATGCCTGGACTGACATGCCGCCATTTATCATGCCATGCCACCCTGCCTAGTGGATGATTTTCTAGGCGCCGCAAAGAAGGTGAGTGTTTACGCACTCACAAGGCACTGACTTGCCACCATGTATCATGCCATGCCATGCCACCCTGGCTAGTGGATGCATCAAGGCAATTTGCTAATTGCAAGGCAGGTACGTTAAGGCTCGCTAGGGTACCCCTTACCTGCTCGGCCTTCACCCATTCCTGTTTAATACACTGCGCTGATCGCCGGCAATCATCAATGATCGCTCGTTCTTTTGAATGTGCGCAGAGAGGAAATGGGGTTTTGGTGCCTGGTCGCTTGGGAGACAGAGGCGTGGATGGGGTGTTGGAGGCCAAGATGACATCAAGTCGACTCAGTCAACTTCTGCTCATGCGTTGTTTTTCGCCTTGCCTCCTGCCTATCCTGTCTTGCCTTGCATGTGTGCAGAGAGCGGATGGGGTGTTGGTGCCGGGTGGCTTTGGAGACAGAGGCGTGGAGGGCAAGATCCTTGCAGCAAACTACGCCCGAACCAACCGCGTGCCGTACCTGGGGATTTGCCTCGGCATGCAGATCGCCGTCATTGAGTACGCCCGGAATGTAAGCACCTATGTTTCCTCTTGAGCCCTCATTGAATCTGAGTGCTTATTATTCGGCGCCTCAGTGAGAGCCATTGAATCCCTGGTGCGAATGAGTTGCACGAATGTAAGCACCAATGTTTGGCATGAGAGTGCGAGCAGCACAGCCTCTTGGTTTTGGAAAAATCGCTCTGGTAGGATTACACCAAGACCTTTGTTCCTATCTGGTGGAAAAGTGCACTCTGAGGTGCTGGCAGGGCGAGCAGGACCGAGGTTGACCCAGCATCACCTGTCGCATCCCCCCCCCTCCCTTCTGGCTGCCTTCCTGCAACCCACCCCCCACTCCAACTCACAGGTGTTGGGCCATGCGAAGGCGAGCAGCACGGAGTTCGACCCAGCATCACCGCACCCGTGCATCGTCTTCATGCCTGAGGTATCCAAGACGCACATGGGCGCCACCATGCGCCTGGGCGCGCGAGACACAGTCCTCCACTCGCCCACCTGCCTCGCTGCCAAGCTGTGAGTCCTCCCTGCTGCACCCTTCTGCTCTCTGCTGCCCCCTGCTGCCCCCTGCTGCCCCCGGCTGCCCCCTGCTGCCCCCGGCTGCCCCCTGCTGCCCCCTGTTGCCCCCGGCTGCCCCCTGCTGCCCCCGGCTGCCCCCTGCTGCCCCCGGCTGCCCCCTGCTGGCCCGGCTGCCCCCTGCTGCCCCCTGCTGCCCCCGGCTGCCCCCTGCTGCCCCCGGCTGCCCCCATGAATCTGTGCCAATCCTCATGCTCCAAGCAAATCCTCTCATGAGACACACAGTCGTGCCATTACAATCACGCAGGCAGCTTAATCGCACCGCTAAAACCATGCCATCACAATCATGCCACTACTATCCCACCAGGTACGGTACGGCACTCAGAGCAGTGTGAGTGAGCGGCACCGGCACCGCTACAAGGTCAACCCCGACATGATCGACGAGTTTGAAGAGGCTGTACCCGTGCTTCCAGCCACTCTAACCGTGCATACCTCTATCTTCATGCTCCGCTGTACCCACCCGCCAGCTACGGCACTCACAGCAGTGTGAGTGAGCGGCACAGGCACCGCTACGAGGTCAACCCCGACATGATCGACGAGTTTGAACCTGTTCGTCGCTCCACCCACCCACCCACCCATCAGGTACGGCACTCACAGCAGTGTGAGTGAGCGGCACCGGCACCGCTACGAGGTCAACCCCGACATGATTGACGAGTTTGAAGCTGCGGGACTGAAATTTGTTGGCCGCGACGAGTCCGGGCGCCGCATGGAGGTGAGCAGTGCTCCTGGCATGCAGGAGGGTGGGCTTAATGGCAAAGCGAGAGCTCGGAACGAATCTGGTTGGCGCATGGAGGTGAGTAGATTCGAGCAGGAGAGCTGGTCGTGCTTTTTGAATCGTGCAGCGGCTTTTTTTTCTGGTTGTGAACGGTTTTTTTTGGTAGTAAAGGAGGAAATGTCACTGGTGGCGCTGCTTTTGGGGGGTTGCATGAGTTACTTTGAGTTGCTGTAGGGTTTGGCGAAGAGGATTCGCATTCTTCCCTTCTCTTCCCCTTCCCTCTCTTTCTCTTATGTCAGATACAACCGTTGTCTACATTCCACACATTAAATACCATTTCAACCGCCTTACACCGCTCTCTGCTTCCTGCCTTCCTCCCCTGCTCGTCTCCTCCACTCTCAACCGTCAGATCCTGGAGATCCCATCGCATCCGTACTTCCTGGCCGTCCAATACCATCCAGAGTTCAAGTCCAGGCCAGGGCGGCCGTCCCCTGTCTTCCAAGGTATGCCCTCTCATGCTCTTTTTCTCGGCCCTCTAGGCTCCCATCCATTTATCTTGCCTTCCAAGGTATGCCCTCTTATCCTCTTCGTCCCAATTCTTTAATTTTGACTTCTAATGTGTTTCCTCCAGCCCCCCTTACTGCCTGTCCTTTAAGACTCTGCTGTTAGTATAAGTTTTGGAACCTTATTATCTCAGATCTCTCTCCAGCTACACCAACCCCCCAGTCTTGCCTGTCATCACACTTTGCTCTTCCCTTCTCGATCTCTTCCGCCCTTGCTTGCCGTTCTTGGGTCCTTTCTTCCCACCAGGCCTAATCCTTGCAGCCTCAGGCCAGCTACAAAGCTACCTGGATTCTCTCTGAAGCACATATGCCTCTAGGTGTGGGGAGATGGAACAGGGCGTGGCGGTCAACGTGCCGCAATCTAGAGCATAGCAAGATTAGTGCACCTTACCCTGCAGTTGCTGCTGCTGATACGGTACTTGCTCCCTGCAGTGGTGCAGAATTAGTGGTTAAAGTCAGAACTGCAGAGCAGTCAAACAGCAGCGCATCTGTGATGGAATGCACTTTTCAATAAGAGCAATCGCAAGTCTTACTGCGGGGAGAATATAGACAATTATTATTAGCTTTGATCAACAGGTCTAAGCCGTATAAGCAGACGCATATTCGCGGTATGAGGCCAGGAGAGCACAGCACTTTCACTTCACACTCCTTCCAGCAGCAGGATTTGATCCCATGACCTCATCAGAACAAACCTGCATCCAACTCTCCCTTCCTCCTAACCCCCAAGACCGGACTCCTTACCTTCACAAGGGGCACTGGTCCCACACATATCTCCCCTCCAGTCTTGACCCCCATGGATTTGAGAGCACGCGCGTAGATATCAGCATGTGAGTCATACACACTTCGCCCCCCACCAGGGCTGGATCCCTGGGGAATCTCGTTGCACTGCTGCATCAAGCCGTCCCCTCTTGAACCAGACGGATCCGACACACCTCGCGTTGCTGCATGCTGAGCTGGCACTGCCGCTGTTGCTCCTCCTCCCAGCGCCTGCTGTGTTGGTGCTGCTGCTGCTGCTGCTGCTGCCGTTGCTGCGTTTGAAGCACACACAGCCACTTCTGCCTCTGCTCCTGCTGCTGCCCTTGTCACGTGCTGCTGCTGTTGCCGGAGAAATGATCTGCTCCCAGTGGGGGTGACATCGTTACAGCTCCAATTCCTGCGAGGAATGCTCGCGCCTTCCATGATGCTGCCACTGTTTCTCCTTGGATTTGATAAGATTGAATCCAAGGGCAGTTTTCTTGCATTCAAGGCCTCCCTTTTCAAGCTACTCACGCCCCCACCATTCACGCTCCCACCATTAAAGCTTCCCGCATCCCCAGCCGCATAGAAAGCAGTAGCAAGGCACGAGGACCACACATCAGGCGACCATGCGACGTCAGGCGACCATGCGACGGCAGGCGATTCCAACTCACGAGTGCACCATGCTTTTTCGACACCCGCGCTTTGCCGACCGGCGCGGCCCGAAGCGCTCTTAGTAATAGTACCCTCCAAAACGGCACCTTCAACGGCGGCGCCGCCCGTGATCGTCGCCTCGAGGGGACTTCCGGGTCGGAAGGGCCGCTCCCGACGACCATAGGCCGCATGATGATGCTCGTTGGAAACTTCAAGCTGCGATGATGGGATTGGCTTTGGCGCGTTTGAAACTTCAAAGTTTGACGAGTCGTCATGCGGCTGGCCACGCGCCGCGCTACTCGATGATAGTGGTACTTTGTGGTCATTGCATGCAGCGTTATCACGTATTCCGCAATGATTCGATGGAGCCACGATTTGCGCCGCAGACGCCGCCGCTGCCGCCGCCGCCGCTGCGGTAACGGCTTCCGTTGCGCCGCCTGCGCCCAAGATGATCTGGTAGCGCTCCGTAAACCTTGCAAAGGGATCCTCCGAGGAGTCCGCGCCGCGTGTCGCTTGGACGAGAGGAGGAGAAGCTTCGTGACTCAACCAAGCCGCGCCGGGATGACGGACGGTTGCGGGGACAATACTTCTGCCGCTGGAAGCGCCTCGCTGATCACTGATCGCTAAATTGGCAATTTGGGGGGAGCGGTTTGTGCCTGGGGCTGTTTCTCGACTCTTTGCAGCGCTGATAGTCTGCGCAACTTCCGCCAACGCCGCTACGTTGGCAGAACGCGCCGCCACGAAAGCTGCCGCCTCGATGGTTCTCTCTCTTATTGATGCGGCTGGATCGGGTTCGACGTATTGTCGACGTGATTTCTGTTTGCTATTATTGAGAACACCGAGCGAGAGCGAGAGTGTCAGATCGACGTCAGCTTCGCCGATCCGTGCGGCGTCTGCTGCGGCTTTGTTCGCGCAAATCGGAGGCTCGTCGTCAGGAAAATATCCATCGATGGAGCGGGGATGAGGCGACCGAAGGATAGCGCCGGATGCGGGATCAAGTATCGCTTCGCCCTCGTGACGCATCCGTTTGGGCTGAGGTCCGCAGGAGACACATTTGACGGCACAATCCATCGAAATCGAGTTACAACCGTCTGAACACTGACGTGATAAAGAGAAGCGACTGTGCTCGCCGCGTGAAGACAGGCCCGAGAAAGGTGATTCGGTGCTTGTTCGGTTGGAGCAGCAAAACGTGGGTTTTGGTGCAGCAAAATGCTGACTGGGAAATGCTGAACAGCAGCAGTGATCTAACGGGGATTGAAGAAGCATTTCCAATTTCGCAATGCGCGATTTTCTCGCGGCGGCAAAGTGGGAACCGACATGGTCATGACGGAGTTTTGTGACGGGCAGAACTACCATACTTCATTGTAATCGGTGTACACACTCCGTGCTCTATTTTCCCAGCCTTCGACTGTAACAATTTTAGCTACTCGCTTTGTTTGATTGAAAGAATGTAGAATGTACTGACACTGAGATAGGAAATCCGCGAGAACTGAGAAATTCCGTTGCTGGCCTCCGGAAGACAAGCATAGCCCCGACGCAGAGGCTCTGTTGGCGATCATTCCCAACGCGATTTCGTTTTTGGGGGAGATAGAGTCCAGGGGCGGGGTCAGATCGCGACACCGTGACTCCCTCCAGTCCCGACTCCCGAGAAGTGGGGCAGATTTCGGTTTCATGTACGTGTATTGGATACCTCACGCGTGGCAGCAATGGTGTCACCGCGTCGAGGCACTTGCGATGCGTGAATTTTCGGGGTGTGACCTCAGCATTTCGGAAATTGGGGCGACCAACTATGGCAGTGCTTTGACCTGAGGACTGCTGGCATGACAGGGGTTGGTCTCTGTCAATTGGCTGGCGGCCTGCGTCCGATTGTTCCGCATGAGCGAAGGAAGTGAGGTTGGAAGGGCCAACATCATAGACATGCAGATGTTTATGGTAACCCTATCCAATGGTATGCAAAACCGTCTTACCTCAGTTTTGGATCTATCGACATGCTGCCCTACTACCGCGTTTGTTTTTATTTCGAGCAGTGATCCCTACCGCGCTTGCCTTCGCACTAAGACGTGATTTCTTCGGGCCAAGAAAAACATAAAACCCAATCGGAACGGGATGCGTCAGGGAGGCATCAACCCTAAAAACAATGTCCTTTCCCGTGTTTAGGGTTGATCCCTCCCAGAAATGAGTCCAGTTCCCTATGGGTTTTTATTGTTTTCCAGCCCTGGCCTAGCACTTCTAAGTAGCAATATATTGGGTGCAATATATTGTTACAAAACGGACCCCGTATAATTTCATTCCAATGGATTGGATTCTTTCGTAAATGTATCGTGCACATTCAGCGGAAAATAGTAGTCTGGAGGAATATTTGTTAGACGCCAAACGGGGCGCGGTAAGAACCACGAAAATACGAAATCGAAAATGCAGCCGATTACATCTCATATTTCTTCCTTTTTTGTTCTGCGTCAGCTGTTAGACAGTGTTTTGAGTGGCGCTACCAGACAAACTTGCGCAGCAGAACTAGGGTATCGACGGTTTTGCATACCGTTGGATAGGGTTACCATACTAATTTGCATGTCTATGATGTTGGCCCGAGTTGGAAGGAAGAACGCCTGGTCAGATATTTCGCGGATCCCAGCACAGACAAGAACGGTTGCGTCTGTAACGAACAAGGCCACAAGCATTGGTCGCATTCAATGAGGGGCAAGGAGCAGCTGTTTGCTAATGTCAAACGAGGTCACCCTACAAGCCTCCCGAAACAAAAGGCTCGCATGAAACCATCACAATTGGCAGGGGTTCCAGACAATCAGTAAACAGACTGGCCCTGCTTAAGAACCAGTTTGGGACTGCTGATGCTTAACCAGCCATAATTCCACTGTCTGTGCTAGGTGCTGGTGTTTCAACTACAATATTCGAATCACTAGCTGAGCCCCTGGAATATTGGTAGATTAACTCCATCGAGGCTCGGGCGCGTCGCACAACTTGAAATTTCCGACCCAGCAGTAACAACTTTCCTTTCTTGACTGCAACAAAACTGCAGTTTCCAGCTCAGCTATAGTTGGCCTGGTCTGGGATATGGTGGCTTCGCGCGGGTCGAGGTCCCAGACTCCCAAGCCGTGACTGCCAAGCGTGCAATGTCTGGCGAGGCGAGATACACGCGAACAAGAGATACACGTGTATAGGGTGCTCAATGCCTCAGTTGTGCAGTTCCGATATCCAGACGCAATTCTTTTTGTTGTTAAAGAATTCTAGTGTAGTCAACAAACCCTAAGCCAATAATGCAGGAGGCAGTCTTTCTCAAAATGTGCAACATGCGCAACTCATTGTACCATTAGGGTTTGTGCTAGATTACAAGTAATGCAACACTCGACATTTCAACCAAACACAGAAAAACACACGACAACTCACTAGCCCCGAATGCCAACCATCATGTGATCGGAATCATGCCGAAAGCAGAGAGCCGTAAGAACCAGCCCCAGTGTCACAGGCCAGGAGGATCCTACTGCATCAACCAAAGCCTGCCGTGCAACCACCGGTATGATAGCTCTGAGGCTCCCCAGTGGAGATTTCTCTGAGGCGCCTGAAAAGGCAGGAAGGTTCCAACAGTACCAGAGAGCCTGCCATGGAGCTCCACTGGGCTGCCCGAGAGACTCTCTGCTCTCCCCATGATTCATTCCAACGAGCCACATGATAGCCACCACTGCGGCTGAACCTACTCAAACCACTCCCCACTGCCCTTTACCCCCCATGCCCCCCCACTCCCTATTGAACCCCCAATCCAAACTATCTCAAACACAACACCTTCTCAACCCCCACTTACGCCCCTCTCCTCCTCACACCATGACCACCATCAACCTCCATCTTCCACTGGGCATCCATTACCCAGGGATTTACCTAGTACACGGAATTCCATCGCCATAAACCACCTCATCTGATTATTCGTTCCGCCCGAATGACCACCAAGAGGAAAGGTCACCTAGAGATCCCACAGGTTGAACTCCGACAGCTGCAGAAACACAACAGCCCCAGGCCCCTCATGGGAACCCAGGCAAGCATGGGCTGTAGCCGCTACAGCGGGCAAGAGACATTATCATTCAGAGATCCCACAGGGTGAACTCCGACAGCTGCTGAAACACCCCAGCCCCGGGGCCCTCATGGGCTGTCCCCACTACAGCCGGCACAGAGCCTAGCATGTCCAAGCCATCGCAAAAACCAGCATGATCATCCAACACGAGCATGCGCCCATGTTCCATAGCCATCTTGCCTTCATATTCCATCCCCATCCCCATCATCCCCGTCTGCATCATCCCCGGCTCGTCCAGGGGAGTCTCGTGCAGCAGCGACGGCATGTTGCAGTCCAGGTCGCAGTCGCCGTCTAGCCAGAAGGAGAATGCGGAACGAGCCGTGGAGCCGTGCGCGTCAGTGTCAGTGCCAGGGTTCCCGATGCTGCCCTCCAGAAACGACTCCAGGCTATCCAGGCTGTGAAGCCTGTCAATACCATCGTGACCGTCGGTGCCATCGCCATTGCTGTCGCTGATGTCATTGCTGTTGTTGCCATCGTCGCTACCAGAGAAGCTATTGCAAGGCCCGGTGCTCTTCTCACTGCCCGAATCACTGCTCTTCCCCCCATCCACTGCAGCAAGAAGCGGCTTCAACGCCGCTTCCAAGTCGCTCTCCTGCACCCCCTCAGCACCGCACTCCACCGCTCCAGACTCCTCCGCACCGTCGCCAACCAGCTCCCCGACCCACTCTCCAGCCGCGAACCTCCTAGCAGCCGGCCCACCGGTCACCTCCACCATGCCCCCCTTGCCCTCCACAGCCTTAAGCGCCGCTGCCAGCTCAGCAACGGCGTCCTCCGCGCCCTGCCACGTGGCACACCCACGGGCCGCCGTCAGCAGCGCGTCGGCTGTAGTGGCCGGCATCAGCACGGGGAGCAGGGCAGGGTCGGTCTTCTCAGAAGAGCCTTCAGCTGTGCTGGCTGTAGCGCCTGCAGAGGCTGCGTCGCCTGCACTGTCTGTAGCGCCTCCTGCAGCAGCTGCATCGCCTGCAGCACCTGTAGCGGCAGGACAGCAGGACTTGCCCTTTGGAGGAGGCGGCGGGGGGAAGTTGAGTTGTGCCTTGGATCCGCGCAGCAGCCAGGCGGCCATGTCATACACGCGCGCGGCGTCCTCCCACGAGTCAAACGACCCCAGCCAGATGCGCGACCGCCGGCTCGGCTCTCGGATCTCCGTCACCCACTTGCCCCACCGCCGCTGCCGCACACCCTTATACATCCCGCTGCCCGGCGTGCCGCCCAACGCCGCCGCCGCCGCTGCTGCCGCACCAGCCGCATCTGCCGCTGTGATGGTTGGCGCAGAGATCTCGGAATCAGCGCTCTCCACAGCAGCGCTTCCCCCTCCTGCGCTACCACTTCCGACACTGCCGCTGTCCGCAGCAGACTCGGAGCGTTGGCAGTGCTTGCTTGCTCGGTGATCGCCGCCGCGTGACTTGCGCCCAACACTCAGCGCCCGACCACTGCCACTGCCAGTGGCAGTCGCAGTCGCGACCTGCGGCTTCTCTCCCCCTACAACCGCCACCGCCGCCATCGTTTTGCTCCGCTTATTTCCTGTGCCTGACCCGCGCGGTCGTCCGCGGCGCCGTTTCTCCCCCAGAAGCGCGGGGCTGGCAGGAGTTTCGCTCGGAGCAAGCGCAGCAGCTCCGCCGAATCCGCGGAAAGCAGCCAGCGCGGCCGCCGGCGGCGGAGGCAACGCGAAAGGAACCCCTGGGGGCGGCAGCATGTGGAACCCCGCCGCGAATGCCGGCGGAACGGGAATCACGGGGCTCCACATGCTGCCGCCTCCTGATAGAGCAGCAGCAGCACCCATCGCGCCGCCGCCACCGCCGCCGCAGCTCGCGGCGCGAATATCACCTGATGAATAATGCGCTGGTGGAAAGTAGCGGCCAGAAGCGCCTGGAACCGCATATGACCCGCCAATAAACTCGGATTCTCTGGCGTGGAATGATACTCCCGGCGGCCCGCCGGGAGCGGAGGGATAGGCAGCGTGAATTGGACAGATGACTCCTCCGTTGTTCATGGCGCGAGTCACGGCGGATACGGGGGGATTATCGCCGAGCGTCGAGTTGTCTCGAGTTCCCCGCGATCGGCGGCGGAGCTGGAGCTGCTTGCGCTTTGCCACGTGGACGGCCTGCACGAGCCCCGCGATGGCGGTCTGCGCCGACGAGATGGCCTCCTCTAACGCCGCGTCGCTGGTCCCGTCAATCGTGGCGGAAAGGGCGGAAGGCGTGGACGAATGAGCTGAATCCATTGAAGAGATGATTGGCTCGAATGGAAGGCTGATGGTAAGCGGCGGAAGGGGCGGACGGGGCGGACGGGGCGTAGGGGGCGGACGGGGCGGAAGGGGCGGATTCCCAGGATGCACGACGGCGGCTGATAGCCGTATGATGGTAGAGTGCTCGACCTTGGATCGACGAGAGTCGGACTCCTGCAGCGGCGATGGTAGAGGTTTCAGCCGCTGCACGCGTAGTGAGCGCTGCTTCAAGCAGATCTCCCGGAATAGTAGGGGCAATTCCGCGTCTCGCACTGAAAGGACACTGAAGGCTTGATGATCAAGCACTGAGCGTGTCGACAGGTTAGTAGTGAGTATCCTTCGGTCATATAATATTCCGTCGAACGTAGCAGTTCCCCCTTCCACGATGATATGCTCTTCCGTCGAGCCGACGATCACGTTGCGTCCACAGGTTAGTCGGGGGTAGGTCCCGCCTGTACCCGTTCGCGCGCTCCCGGCTCAGCCAATGAGCGGCGAGCTTCGAGTCACGCACGATCGACGAAGCGAGTGAGAAGCGAGACGAAATCCGAGGGAGGGTACATCTGCGCGTCCCAAAATTCTAGAGCAAGTAGCGAGACGGGATTCAAGGGCAGGCGGATCTACCAGAAGCGCGTAAGGCGCATTCTCGGGGGAAAGCACTGCTCCAACAGGTGGTAACTGCCGCAGCTGGCGCGTGCTGGTTCTGCTTTACTGACAGCGTACAGGGACGCGACTGGGTATTGAGTGGACGAAATCACGGCGCTTGAATCCTAAGCGCGCGGGGAGGGGAAGTTCCCTTCGCCGGGGATTCCTTGTTGCCGTGCTGTCTTGGTTCGCGGAGGAGGATGAGGCTCCCTGAACAAGGCTCCTGCTTGGCTGCGGCCGAACCAGCAAATTCGTTACCGGGGCGGAAAACAAGCGAGCATTCTTCCACTTCGGGCAACGGGGCGAGTCGACCCACCGAGGCGAGAGCCGGAGCGCGAATCTGCGTCTTCTTTCCCCCGACCCCGACGGGTCATTGGAACACTGCAGCGCCGTACGTTACAGCGAATGATTACGGCTCTGCGGTGACAGCTGTAATCTCGGATGGAGCCAAAAAGGTTGGATTCTGGATGCCATACTTAGCTGTCCGTGTAAGCAGCCATGTTGTGCCTCCGTAACTCGACCTATTTCTCGCCTCCTCCCGCGTCGTGTGTCTCTGCACTCCAGCTTCTGGATCAAGCTAGGTTACGTGTGGAACCATGCTATGCTCGAAAGAGCTTGGGTCGGAAGCTGAATAATCTCAGCCAAGGGTATATATAATATGATCCCCGCTTACATGCCCCCTTGCGGGTTCTTACGAACAAAAACAGCTGTCAGGGTTGTTTTTAACGAGAACATGACGTGTACGTTTTTTGGCGGGGGGTCGGTTTCCCCTACCCGCTGTCTAGTTCCCCTCTTCATCGCCCCTCCCTTGCACCCTTCGCTAAAATATCCCGCCTCTTCTCCTGAATGATACACGCGCAGTATCCGCCAAGCCCCTTCCCGCACCAGACGAAGCCAAGTTGCGGGGGAGGCTACTGGCTACCCAGCCCCGCCGTGGCAGCCACCAGCTGGCGCTCAGCTCGTGGACTCCTCGTGTTGAGCGTGCGGGGTGCGAGCTGGACGAAGGGGCACGCACAGAGCTCGAAGAAGGTGCGGCATCTCGATCAGGAAGTCCCTTCGAATGTTGAGAGAACCTTCCGCTCAAGCTGGTCGTGCAAGCTTTGGGGGCAGATTGTTCTGAACTGTACAGTGTGCTGAACACCCTCCTCCACAAGGCATTGCTGCATGGTTGGAATCAAACGGTGTGCAATTCTTTCCCCAGTCGTACAGTCCGTACACGCGGGCATGTGAAAACACTTGACTGCATGATTTCCGCTGAACCTCGCAGGCTTCCGTTGCTGCGCTGGAGAAAACAAAATTGAAGGCACGCTTCTTGGATCTTCCTCAACTGGGCAGGGCAGTGGCCTGGGCATTCGTGCTGAAACGTCGAGTAGGTTCATCTGGCTTGTGAGCCAAGCTGGAAAGGTTTGGCCGCCACGTGGAATCCTCGTGAGCGTCGCGGAAATGCAACCGTCCCGATTATGTTCGCATAACACTATGCTTGTGACGAATCACTAAAACGCTGTGAGTATACTTTCCAAATAAATGGTGTCTTACCACAGATGGCAGACAATGTGCTTTCTCGAGTTGACATTTGCTGATGTTTTTATGCAGCAAAACTGCTACCGTACCAGTAACCTGACGTGTTAAAATTCTTCTTCAACACTAGCCAGAGTACAATATTGTGGTCTTATAACCTAGCACAACCATGCTTAGCTCATCCACTGACACTGCCACAATCAGCAAACCTTGGATACCACCCGATACCACAATCGAAAGCAACTAGCATAGGTCACAACATTTGCAGGGTCAATCATGCCCCCGTCCTACAGCTGGTTGTGCAGACGGCGAAGCAGCACAGAGACATCGCTTGCATGGTCGGCTGAGTACCGCTCAAACCGGCGGCGAATTGGGGCTGGAGGAGGGGCGGGCTGCCCCGCAGGCACATTGAGGTAGGTGTGGAACAGCGCATGCCACATGTCATGATTCCAATACCTGCCAGCCAGCCATCCATGGCAGAGAGCAGCAAGCAAGAGAGCAGTGGCATGAACACACAAAGTGAGATAATAGCGGCTGGAGGAGGGGCAGGCTGGCCACATTGAGGTAGGTGTGGAACAGCGCATGCCACATGTCATGGTTCCAGTACCTGCCAGCCAGCCATGGCTGTAAGTGAGAAAGCAGTGGTGCAAACACACAGAAAGAATCCACCAAGCTCCTCGAAAACATCCCACAGGCAACTGACGCGAGGGGGAAACTACGCAAGCGGAAACTTAGGCTGACCTCTTGAGGTGGAGCCTTGGGCGATAGTAAGAAACATTTTCAGCCTCAGAGCTAGCAGCCACGACATCATCACAACCGTCCACATCCGCTGCTCCACTGGCACCGCCCTCCCCTGCAGGCACCCTCTCGACCTCCATGTACTGCCCGTGCAGCAGGCAGTAGGCAGTAGCACACACCGCGTAGAGATCGGCCTGGATAGGAGCGGCACCGGAAGGCATGGGACAGGAAGAGGGAGGAGCGGCATAGAAAGGTGTGGTTAGAAGTTTGGGCGCAGAGTGCGTAGGGACGAGTGTAGAGTGAGTGTGCTCAAACACATCAACGCTGTACCCCACACTTGATCAACACCATGTCACAGAAGGGCCATGGCATACCACACACAAATCAGCACCATACCACGCTGTACCACACAGATACCACATTCTACCGCATGGCTACTACTTCGCACCACACTTGCCATACCTGGGTGGTCCATGGCCGCCCCTCCACCATCTCTGGGCACCGAAAGTTGCAAGCCACACTGTACCACACCACACCACACACATACCACACTGTGTCGTACCTGCGTGGTCCACGGGCGCCCCTCCTCCATCTCGGGGCATCGGAAGTTCTCCGTGCCGCTGTCAGAGACGAAAGAGGAACCTTCTGGGAAGTGCCGCATGTCAATGCTGCGGCCGTAGTCCACAAGGGTGAGACCCTGAAGGAGTGGAGAGGAGTGAGTAGTGGGGAGGAGTGAGGAGTGGGAAGACGTGAGGAGTGGGAAGGAAAGAGGAGAGTGAAGGAGTGAGGAGTGGGGAGGAGTGAGGACCGGTGAATTAGAGAGGCGGATGGGAGATGTCAAGTTGTCTACTGGTGGATGAAGGGATGACAGATGAGAGATGGAGTGATAGTAGGCAGGGGACCGGGGATGCTCAGTGATAGGAGGCACAGAACGAGCAACATATGTTGGCTGCAGTTGCATCTGACCCAGTACAGACTGAGGATGGGGCTGTTTCTGAATTCAGGCATCTTGGTACAGCCTACCAGACTTGCTGCAATGCAATGGGAGTGGAACCGAGCGAGCTTGGCACAAAGAATGGTCAGTTGCTGTCAGGCCTTTGTGTTTAATTGATTGGTAGAGTCTCAGAGTGGGTTGGAGAGCAGAAGGTGAGATAAAGCTTAGAGATGCGAACAAGAATCAAGTCAAGAGTGAGATTGAGTGAGTCAAGGACAAGCCGTACCGTGGAAGGTGCACCGGCCTCGATTGCAGCAACCATCTCCCTGGGACTCTCACTGTCAGCCCTGCAATGAAGCGCGCATGACAATATGCAGGCAGAACGGGGAAGCCATGTTGCAGCACAAACTTCAGGCTCCTCTGCTTCCTTGCAATCTCTACCCTATGAGGCATCTAAAATCCCACACGAGAACAAAATTGAGGTGCTCAGAACGAGGAAATCACGTTGCAGGTAGCAGCACACAGCAACACATACCCGAATCGCAGGAGAAAGTTGTCTGGCTTTATGTCGCCATGCAGGATGTGAGCAGCGTGCAAGGCCTCCACAGCTCGCAGCATGCAGGGCATCCCACTCCTCACTTACTGTCTTCCAGCAACACGAGCAGCAAGCAGGGCATCCCACTCCTCACTTACTGTCTTCCAGCAACACGAGCAGCAAGCAGGGCATCCCACTCCTCACTTACTGTCTTCCAGCAACACGAGCAGGAAGCAGGGCATCCCACTCCTCACTTACTGTCTTCCAGCAACACGAGCAGCAAGCAGCAAGGCGCAGAGCAGCAAGCACCACTTAAAGCACGTACCCGAACCGCAGGAGGAAGTTATCGGGCTTGATATCCCCATGCAGGATGTGAGCAGCGTGCAAGGCCTCCGCAGCTCGCAGCATCTGCGCCGTGTAGAAGGCGCACAGCGGCTCCGGCACCGGCTTGCCTTGCTTCTTGAACGCATTCACCACGTCCTGAAAGGGGAGGCGGTTGGTGGGGATGGGCGGTGAGTGGGTGGGGTTGGGTGGTGACGAGGTGCAAGTTTAAGGCAGGCGCACAGCGGCTCCGGCACCGGCTTGCCTTGCTTCTTGAACGCATTCACCACGTCCTGAAAGGGGATGCGGTTGGTGGGGATGGGCGGTGAGTGGGTGGGGTTGGGTGGTGACGAGGTGCAAGTTTAAGGCAGGCGCACAGCGGCTCCGGCACCGGCTTGCCTTGCTTCCTGAACGCATTCACCACGTCCTGAAGGGGAGGCGGTTGGTGGGGATGGGCGGTGAGTGGGTGGGGTTGGGTGGTGACGAGGTGCAAGTTTAAGGCAGGCGCACAGCGGCTCCGGCACCGGCTTGCCTTGCTTCTTGAACGCATTCACCACGTCCTGAAAGGGGAGGCGGTTGGTGGGGATGGGCGGTGAGTGGGTGGGGTTGGGTGGTGACGTGACGAGGTGCAAGTTTAAGGCAGGCGCACAGCGGCTCCGGCACCAGCTTGCCTTGCTTCTTGAACGCATTCACCACGTCCTGAAAGGGGAGGCGGTTGGTGGGGATGGGCGGTGAGTGGGTGGGGTTGGGTGGTGACGAGGTGCAAGTTTAAGGCAGGCGCACAGCGGCTCCGGCACCGGCTTGCCTTGCCTCTTGAACGCATTCACCACGTCCTGAAAGGGGAGGCGGTTGGTGGGGATGGGCGGTGAGTGGGTAGGGTTGGGTGGTGACGAGGTGCAAGTTTAAGGCAGGCGCACAGCGGCTCCGGCACCGGCTTGCCTTGCCTCTTGAACGCATTCACCACGTCCTGAGGGGGAAGAGAGGTGAGAGAGTGGGGGTGGGTGGTGAGGTCGAGAGGTGAGAGTGGGGAAGGGGGTGGGTGGGTGGTGAGGATGGCATGCAGTAGGCACGTGCATAGCTCCTCTGGCACTGGCTTTCCCGGCTTCTTGAATGCGTTCATCAAGCGAGGATGGGGCAATTGGGTATGCGTGTGAGAGCCCCTACGTGCGTGTACACACCTGAACAACACTTGCATACTCACATGCATGCTCACATGCCAGCTCACCTGCAGGGTGCCGCTAGTGCCAAGGGAGCATGTGAGGATGGACGCATTGGGGAACTCGTGGTAAGCAGACGCCGCGCCAAACAGTTGCCGCTGGTGGGGGAAAAGGGGGGGGCAGAGGAGAGGAGGAAGGGAAGGGAAGGGGAGAGAGTAGTGAGGGCGGAAGGGAGAATGGCAGGAGGAAATTGATGTAAAGAGGATGAGCATGTACATGGAAAGCAGGGAGGGGAATGATGGTATGAACACAGGCATCAGGCAAGAGTATCAGGGCCAGAATTTAGAGGAACCAAGTGCGGCAAAGGTGCGTGGATGAAGGACAGGGACGAAGGGTAATAGCCTAGGCACCTGTGGGCCGTCGATTCGCAATTGGATCTGACGGTATATGTAGAACTCCCAAGGGCATGCCTTGGAGTGGAGCTGCAAGACAAAGCGATGGGTGGAGGCATAGATGATGGATGCGACAGGTTGGAAGACAGCATTCACAGGCATCAATAAACCAAATCAAACCAGCTACGTGTGATGCTGCTATTTATTTGAAGAAAGAACCGACACATCACCCCTGTAGCTGTATCTGTTGGAACACCACAGTACCTTGAGGGACACAGTGCGGAACACCACAGTGCTCTCTGTGGCTGCACCCATGCAACTGGAACACTCACTGAGCACACACCTGCTAGCACACCACACAACCAACCTACCGCACATCTACTCACACACAAGGGTAGGAAGGAGCTGCTGCATACCTTGAGGGCCACAGTGCGGAACACCACAGTGCTCTCTGTGGCCGCGTCTGCCACCCCAGCAGGGGTCTCTGTGGCTCCATAAACCTTTGCATACGCACCCTTCCCCAGCAGCCGATCCACCTCGTAGCTCCTGCTGCCTGCAGAGCGGAGTGGGTGGGTGGTGGGTTCACAGAAAGAGCCCGGGAGATCTGCTTTTGAGTCGACTCAAAAACAGAAAGAGCCCGGGAGATTAGATGCTTGCTTGCTGCAGTGTCTGCTGCCCCAGAAGCGGTCTCCGTGGCGCCATATACCCTCGCGTATGCACCCTAGCCCAACAGTCGAGCCACCTGGTAGCTCCCGCTGCATGCAGAACGGGTGGGGGAGGGAGGCGCAGAGAGAGCGTGGGAAGCAGGGAAAGTGATACCTGAGAGCCTGGTCAGGAGAGGAGGGAGATGGCTGACACCTAGGTAAGAAGAGAGAGAGGTGGGAGCATAGTGGCAAGCAGGCAGGCAGAGGGAGAGGAAGGAGCATGTCAGCAGCAGGGGGTGGGGTGGGGTGCGTACCAAGGCGCAGGTCCACGGGCTCCCCTGCTTTGCCTTCCCTCAGCGCCTTGAGCCTGGCCGGCACGTGCAGCGGGTCTGAGTGCCAGTGGTATCCCTTCATGGTGGTCGTGGGTGGAAGGGAGGGAGCGAGGGTGGGAGGGGGTGGAAGGGAGAGGAGGGGAAGATGGGGATACATGTGTTGTCGGCACATGCAGCAGGAGGGAGGGAGGGAGGGAGGGAGGGAGGGAGTTAGGGAAGAAGGGGGGACAAGAGGGGTGGGCACTGGAGGTAAGGGAGGGGTGGTGGACTGAAAAGTGACAGCAGATATGCATTGGAGGTAAGGAGTGGACGATTGGCTCACAGGTTCGCTAGTGAGAGGGGGCTGAAGGGCAGCAAGGAGGGAGGCCCGCATAGACGTGCTCCAGGGGTTGACCTGCTGGGGCGGGCCCGCTGGAAAGGTGGGCACCTGTGGCACACCGGAGGACGGAGGGGGACAGAGGAACAGAGGCAGAAAGGGGTAACCCATTCAAGTGGTTGCCTGCACAACCCTTGCGCAATGATGAAAGGTGCCCTCAACGCTGAGCAACTGGCGTTGGCCTGCTGGGGCAGGCAGGCCCGCTGCAAAGGCGGGCCGATGTTGCACACATGGGGCGCAGCGCATGGACAGTTCGGGTTGGGATCACTGTTTGGGAGTTGGCTTGAATACAACCTTTGAGGAGTTGGCTTGAGAGGAAGGGCAGCACAGCATGAAGGTGGGAACGGCAGTTTCCAGAGCAGGTTCGAGAGGGATGATGAAAGAGGAAGCGAGGCTTGATCTAGTGATTCCTGGAGAAGATATGGTATGGTATGACGTGGTACGGGGGTATGGTATGGCATGGTACGGTATGGCATGGTACGGTATGGCATGGGGTATGGTGATAAGATGCTCACCCTGGAATGCTGGGGAAAGCGCCTGCAGACTACTGTGGGATCATTCTGTGGACAAGGGTTCATAGCAAGGAGCAAAGAAGCAAGAACGTTTATACATATACACTAAACATCTTACGGAGTCATGGGCCGGCTTGCTCATGCACAGAAAGGCACGAAGGGGAGGGATGGGATATGTTTGTACAACGAACGTGTAAGAGGGGATCAGATATACCAGCAAAGCCAGTTTGGTCACGAATGGTTTCAGAACAAAACAGAACCGCAGGATCAAACCAAAGATGCAGCAGATCTCTCACTTGCACATGCTCTGTCAAATTAAAACAGAAAACAACGAGTGCTGAGGCGTTGTACTAGGCAATAAGGCAATAAAGCTCTCACCTGCGCATGCACCGTGTGATCAAATGAGAGGAAATCCCCCTCGATTCTCCCACCACCAGCATCAGCACCACCACCACCAGCACCACCACCAGCAGGTCCAGCAGCCCCAGCGTGTCCCCTCTGCTGTAGCAGCATCTGCCTGAACCCCTGCACCCTCTCCTCCTCCATGCCTAGCTCACTCAACCCCCCGGTGAGCCCACTCCCCTCCACTTCCTCCTCCCCCTTACTCCCCCTCTTCCTCCGCCCACGCTTGCCCGCGCCCCTCTCGCCCCCCTCCGCCTCCCCACCCCTAGCTTCCCCTTCACCAGCCGCACTCCGCTGCTCACAACCCCCTGTCCCTGCATCCTCCTCTGCTCTCTCTTCCCCTACATCCTCGGCCATTCTTGCTTCCCCTGTACCCTCCCTTCCCTGCCTGCCACTCCCTGACTCTGCTCTATCTGCTGCAGCTGATGAGAAGTCTGGCGAGCCATCTGCCATTGAAGGCCCTGGGTTGGCTGTGGGATTTGGATGGGTTTCCAAGGTTGACCGAGAGGTTGAGAGTGGTGTGGCGTGCATGTAGAGCGGTGGAGGCAGGTTCCTGTGGCGCAGCCAGTATAGATAGCGCTGCTCCTCGAAGCTCGTCTCCTGCTCCTGGCATGGCCCTGTGGGGAAAGGCATGGAGCAGGTTCAAAGACGTTTCACAAGGCACTAAGTGAGTATTATTAGGAAGCATGAGGTGAGCGCTAAGAGAGTTTGGGTTGGAGACAGCATTGCTCCTCGAAGTTCACCTCTTGCTTCTCGCATGGCCCCGGGGAAAGGCATGGAGCCTAAGAAGCCCTGAGATGGATGAGGGAGTGACTTTGTGGGATGTGATGCCACAGCTGGCGAGAAATAAAACAGCGGCGAGCGATCAAGCTCGGACAAAAGGACTGTGCTAGAACAGCGGCGGCGAGAAATCAACGGGGAACAAATGATGTGACCTGCGCTACCTGTGTTTGGAGCACATGCTGCTTCAGACGAGCCCTGACGAGCTGACTTTTGAGTCGATTCAAAAGTCAAATCAACGCGGAACAAAAGAAGCGACCTGCGCTACCTGTGTTTGAAGCAGATTCTGCTTCAGACGAGCCCTGACGAGCCCCCACCTCGCCCCGCACTCTGCACGGACAACAGCAGGGAGGGAGTGGGATTACAGAGGAGCTAACAACAAAGGAACCAAGGCAAATGCACCCAGACGGTAAATGGCCACTATGCACACCCACGCATCCAAACAGTACCACCCCAATCTACAATTCACAGTTCCACGCTACACAAAACGCCTGATTCTGCTGTGTCACCCCATCCATCCACACTCCTCCTCTACCCTCCCTCAATCCTCCTTCACACCACTCACGTCCACCCTCGCCTGTTGGCACCTCCACAGAGGCACCTCAGAAGCAGACCCCCTTGCTCACCTAGCAGACCCCCTTGCTCACCTAGCAGACCCCCTTGCTCACCTAGCAGACCCCCTTGCTCACCTTTCCCGTGCCACCTCTGCATGCCCGTCTTGGTCCCTCTCCACCTCCACCCGCGGCTGCAGCACCCTCCTCCTTGCCGCGCCTCCCCCCAGCCCCCTGCGCATCCTATTCGTAGCCGAAGGGCTGCAGAGAGTGACGAGGTCAGGTGGGAAAAGGAAACCATCGGGAGCAGCACACATTGTTTTTGAGACGTCTCAAACACACCCTCTTTTCACGTGGCTTCTCGTAGCCAAAGGGCTGCAGAGAGTGAGGAGGTCAGGGAGGGAAGGAAACCATCGGGAGCAACACACATTGGGGACAGACAGACACAGCAGTCAGTCAGACATATTCGCTCGGCGTGGATGGTTGCCTGCCTCCTCGCGCTCCACGCCTCCGCATTTTAAGTTGACTCAAAAGTGAATGGTTTCCTGCCTCCTCGCGCTCCACGTCTCCGCCTTTTGAGTCGACTCAAAAGTGAATGGTTTCCTGCCTCCTCGCGCTCCACGTCTCCGCCTTTTGAGTCGACTCAAAAGTGAATGGTTTCCTGCCTCCTCGCGCTCCACGTCTCCGCCTTTTGAGTCGACTCAAAAGTGAATGGTTTCCTGCCTCCTCGCGCTCCACGTCTCCGCCTTTTGAGTCGGCTCAAAAGTGAATGGTTTCCTGCCTCCTCGCGCTCCACGTCTCCGCCTTTTGAGTCGACTCAAAAGTAAATGGTTTCCTGCCTCCTCGCGCTCCACGTCTCCGCCTTTTGAGTCGACTCAAAAGTGAATGGTTTCCTGCCTCCTCGCACTCCATGTCTCCGCCTTTGAGTCGACCCAAAAGTAAATGGTTTCCTGCCTCCTCGCGCTCCATGTCTCCGCCTTTGAGTCGACTCAAAAGTAAATGGTTTCCTGCCTCCTCGCGCTCCACGTCTCCGCCTCTTCACCTCCTCACCACGCACCTCCTCACCACGCACCTCCTCAGCTCTTCATCCAGGAAGATGATGTACAAAGATTTCAAGGCTGATCCCTGACCCTGACTGCAGTGGTTGTGCCCATACACGAACGGCCTTTAACGATTTGCAGTGGCTGTTACCATGTTACCTCCATCTCACGCACCTCCTCAGCTCCTCATCCTCGAAGATGTCAATGCTGATCGACCCCGAGTCGGAGTCCCTCCTCGCCCGCTTGAATGCCTGCAACAACCCACACAACAGCCAGGCCTGCGTGAGCCTGAAATGCCAGAGCAGGGACGGAATCGATGAGCCTGAGATGCCAGAGCAAGTGCAGACTTTCCCACTGAGCCTCCCTTCAATTGCCAGTCAGCAACTCACGGCCAAGTTCTGAGTAGTGCATCTGGCATGTGAGCAGCGCACCTGGCATGTGAGCAGCGCACCTGGCATGTGAGCAGCGCACCTGGCATGTGAGCAGCGCACCTGGCATGTGAGCAGCGCACCTGGCATGTGAGCAGCGCACCTGGCATGTGAGCAGCGCACCTGGCATGTGAGCAGCGCACCTGGCATGTGAGCAGCGCACCTGGCATGTGAGCAGCGCACCTGGCATGTGAGCAGCGCACCTGGCATGTGAGCAGCGCACCTGGCATGTGAGCAGCGCACCTGGCATGTGAGCAGCGCACCTGGCATGTGAGCAGCGCACCTGGCATGTGAGCAGCGCACCTGGCATGTGAGCAGCGCACCTGGCATGTGAGCAGCGCACCTGGCATGTGAGCAGCGCACCTGGCATGTGAGCAGCGCACCTGGCATGTGAGCAGCGCACCTGGCATGTGAGCAGCGCACCTGGCATGTGAGCAGCGCACCTGGCATGTGAGCAGCGCACCTGGCATGTGAGCAGCGCACCTGGCATGTGAGCAGCGCACCTGGCATGTGAGCAGCGCACCTGGCATGTGAGCAGCGCACCTGGCATGTGAGCAGCGCACCTGGCATGTGAGCAGCGCACCTGGCATGTGAGCAGCGCACCTGGCATGTGAGCAGCGCACCTGGCATGTGAGCAGCGCACCTGGCATGTGAGCAGCGCACCTGGCATGTGAGCAGCGCACCTGGCATGTGAGCAGCGCACCTGGCATGTGAGCAGCGCACCTGGCATGTGAGCAGCGCACCTGGCATGTGAGCAGCGCACCTGGCATGTGAGCAGCGCACCTGGCATGTGAGCAGCGCACCTGGCATGTGAGCAGCGCACCTGGCATGTGAGCAGCGCACCTGGCATGTGAGCAGCGCGCCTGAGATCTGTCCCATTCGGAAAGCGGAGCGGCGTTCTCGTCATGCGGCCCATGGGGACCGTCACCCATTTCATTGCTAGCTTCCCAATCACCCCCGCCCTCAAACAAACATACACCCGCCTCACCCGCCTAAGTGCTGAGCAGCGCACCTGGGATCTGTCCCATTCGGACTGCGGAGGGGTGTTCTCGTCATGCTTCCCAGTGGTGGGACCAGCACCCATTTGCTGCAAGCCACGCCGAACATCCCCACCATCGTTGCTGCTGTCCCCAGTCAAAGCACCACCCCCCGCAGCACCACTCTCCAGAGCACGACCGTCCACTGCGCGACCCTCCTTGAGTGGCGCCCTGCAGCAGCAAGCAAAGGGACACGTCGTCAGCCCCACAGCACGCCATGCCCGGCCCAACGCTCTAGCAGCAGCGAACAGTCGCAAGGCAGTTACACTGCGGCCAGTGGGGCACACCAACGAGACACCAGCTTGTGGGAGAGACACACCAACAGACACCTACAAACACCTACAGAAGTCATCAAGTGGGAAACACGGACCTTGCTGCTAGCCTCGTTTCTAGGTGACTTATGAGTCGACTCAAAAGTCACCTCGTTACCACGGCACACGACTCAAGTGGGAAACACGGACCTTGCTTTGCTGCTAGCCTCGTTTCTAGGTGACTTTTGAGTCGACTCAAAAGTCACCTCGTTACCATGGCACACGACTCAAGTGGGAAACACGGACCTTGCTGCTAGCCTCGTTTCTTGAGGCAAGGCCACTGGCCGCTCTGGCTCCCCACCCACTGCTGCTGCTGGCTCATCTGCCCAAGGAACCAATCAGACCACAGCATTACACAGTCGGTTAGTCAACTCCAAAAAAGAAAACGAGAAAACACAAGCTACAAAGTGACGGGGAAAGCACCGGTACCTGCTGATGGGTTAGCTGGTGCCAACAAGCCGATCCTGGATGCTTGGTTCTGATTCGCTCCCTCTCTTCCGCTGACCAGCCTCGTATGCTCTTGCTCCTTCTGCACACGCACACCACCGTGACAGACGGTGGGACACGCCCACCCCACGCCGTTCAAGTGAGAAGACTTTGAGTGACCAACGCTTTGAGAGTCCTACCCCACATCTTTCAGGCATGGCAGCAGAGATCGTCTACTCAAGAAGGGCCTCGCAGTGCTTGGATCTGAGAAGCCTCGGAACATACACATACCACCTGCTGCTTGCGCATACTCCGCTTGGCCATTTAATCACGAAATATTTGAGAATTCTCGAAAGTGACTCTCAAACAGAGAATTCTCAAACGAGAAGGCACGAAACATACACATACCCGCTGCTGCTTGCGCAGACTCCGCGCCGCCATTCGATCACGAAACTTGCGGTACGCCTTTTGGAGCAGCTTCTGAGGCTCTTCCTCTATGCACCTACAGATATCGGGGGGGAAAGGGGAAAGGGGGGAGGGGGGAGGGAGGGAGAGAGGAGAGGGGGAGGGGGAGAGGAGGGGAGGGGGAGGGAGGGAGAGGAGGCGGGAAGGAGGAGTGGAAGCCGTGGTGAGATGCTGGCATCGTTTGACCAAAGGATGCTACACTTCTGACGCGTCCCTTGGACATATCGGAACCTCCCCGGCACTGCACTGCACCTACCATCTAAAGACCTTCAGAACTTCAATTTTATAACGTCGCAATTAAACTCGCCCTCTTTCGCCCACCTTGACTCCGACCTGCTCTGAGACGCACGAGACGAGCTCACCTCTCGAGGCCTCTCCTCTCCCGTAGACCTCAGTGACCTGTCCAAAGTCATGCATGCTTCCTCTCCAGAACCTGATTTTGAGGCGCCTACGATATCACTTGAGACGCGCACACCTCTTGAGACCTTTCCCGTAGACCGCGTTTGCCTGCTTGAAGTCATGCAAAAGGTCCAGAACCGATATCTGAGGCGCCTAAAAATCGCTTGAGACGCGCTCACCTCTTGAGACCTTTCCCGTAGACCGCGTTAGCCTGCTTAAAGTCATGCAAATGCTCCAGAACCGTGGCTAATCCTTCGTAAAACAAATTGTGGCTCCACCCGATGCCCTCTTCCGTCAGAAGAGAAAAGACCTTGAGAGGGTCCCCTGTTAGGCCCGCCTGCGAGAACACCAAGAACAGGATAGAAGGTACGTGAATAGTCACCACCGTGACAAAGGATTTCAATTCTTAATTGACACCTGACGGAACCGTGACTGTTGGGTTAAAGGCGGAAAAGGGACGAGCAGCTTACATATCCGTACCTTGCGTATTGAGTACATCCATCCAGGCGTACTTACATAGTGAATCCATATCCGTAGCCTTATTTAGATATCGAAGCCATATCCGTAGCCTTACTTACATATCGAATCCATATCCGTAGCCTTATCTCGATATTGAATCCATATCCTCAGCCTTACTTACACATCGAATCCATATCCGCAGCCTTACTTACATATCGAATCCATATCCGTAGGTACCGAATGTCGTTCTTGTACTGCTCGCAACTCAGAAAGGTCTCAGCGCAGCTTTTGAGAATGTCGAACAGCTCCGAATTATCTCCGCTCGTAACTGACCAAGAAATTTCCAGCTTAATGTATCTGCATGCGTAGGAAAACGACGTTAAGCAAATGTAACTCCTGCGAAGAAAAGCGAAGAAACCGCGGGTGCATCTAGAGCTGAAAAACGATGAGAACAAAATGAAGTTGATAGTTCCTCCGGTTTCTAACCTGTCCCACGGATCTAAAGGATCATCGCCGTCGTAATTCCTGATCTCCTCGAGGAGCGACCTGCAACAAGGACACGGGTTTTTTTCTTATAACGAGCATTTGCGTCTCATCAGATTCCTACGACAAACGACGAGGCGAAACTCTCGCGAAGATTTTTTTGTGCAACGTGTCCTAACCTTTTTTGGCTCTCGTATTCCTCCTCGATGTTGCCGCTGTTGACAGCTACTAAGGCCTCTTTCAAGGCGGCGTCCGTGGTTCGTGGCTCGATGTTCTCCTTCGCGAGCTGCCAATCCATGCCGAATCTAGAAATCGGTTACGCTACGCTGGGATTGTCGTCGAGTGGTAGGGCACGACTAGCTCTTAGACGGGAATATAAAGGCTATCATAGACGCACCATACGTAGATGGAATCTACTAGCACCCGACAGGCAGGAATATAGACGCTAATGCCGAAGAACTAACAAACTATCTTCTAGCAACGGCTACCGATAAGTCACGACAACTAAGCCGAAATTGACTAGAAAAGGACTTCTACTTTTTAAAAGTGAACTGGTTTTCAAAAGCCGAAACTACCATGGAGGTAGGTGAAGTTCGAGGTAAACTAGGCGAGCCTCGGTCTTGTCACGAAGTGTTTGTGGTGTGTGATGTGGGCGGGACGAGTGGGGAGGGTGGGGGGAGAGAAAAGGTGGTACGGTAGTGCAGCGGGGCGGGGATTTTAGCTCCTTCGTGTCATGAGTCTGGGGAAGAGAAAGAGAGAAGCGCACCGCGGAAATTCAAATTTCGCGCCTCCTTGTGTCAGGAGGCTGGCCAGACGAGGTCAGGCGATCAACCCCGATATCACCGACATCCGTTATCACTGTGGGTACGCATGGAACCACGAAATGTTATCAAAGCACGTAGGTAAATCAACGCATTATCTAGATACTAAGTAATACAGAATTGGGATTATGTGCAGACGGGTTGTTCTCAATACGTACTTAGAGCCTTAGAATAACACTCTCAGACGATGCAACTGCAATATCAAGTAATAGCACGCACTCACATAATAGATGTTTTCCACTCAGAAGTTAAAATTATGTTGCTACATACATGTTTCATGACTGGAAGTTGACGTTTCGGATCTTCAAGGGTCGGGCCAAGCTTGGTTGGCAAGCTGAACCCTCGTCGACTGGGCAACGCTGCAAATACATGTGCAAACACAAGCCCTTCTCGTGTTTTATGGGATTCCACAACAATCGCGTGTTTTACAGGATTCCACAACTGGGAATGACCCTGTTTTATGGGGTGTAAGAACTTGTGGCAGGTGGACAATGGATGTGAATCAGGCCCAAATCGGTGGGTGAGGTATGGTACGCCGCGGCACCGCGTTTGCCGGAAATGTGGCGCACCTGGCATATTTCCACTGTTGCATGCAAGCCAAGTGACTTCTCGACTCGATAGCGCCCCCACCAAGTCAGCAACTACACATGTCACTTGGTGGCCTGGGCAATGTTGCACACACTTCCAAAATTTATAGTGGTCACTTGTCTCAGAAGGAGAGGGCGTATTCCACTTTCCTAGATTGCAGGTCTGCGTGGTGTATCCTGACCGTACTGCTACCGCAGCCGCCCTTCGCAGCAACCCTAACCAAATTGACAACGTAAATCGTACAAAGAAGCACTCCGCTGTAACGAAAAACTATCGGTGTTCACAGATGCGGGGGTGCACCTTTGGGAACACCCTGTAAGCGCTGGAAGGCAACCACGCGTCCCCCACCACGAAGGACCGGTGCAAGGACACTCTCTCTTATCTGCTCTAGCTGGCAGCTAAATGTTCCAGTTCGCTCGACTTTGATCCTATTTTGTATTTGCTATGCTGACAGATACTGTACGTCGAGACTCCAAAAAGGCAGGGGCGGTCAGCCACCGGAAATTTGAAGCACGTCCCCACAATTTTGAATTTGCACTGTAACCAACCCGCGGAACCAACCGCTGGCATGGCGTGGCATGTCCTGCCTTCAAATTGCTGCTCCAAACCCCTGATGCATTTGGTTCGTGGCCCACCCGCCGTCGAATACTGGTGAACCTCACCGACACTCTTGCCATCCAAATCTGTCAGAAGAAGGCGTGAACAACTTTTAGCTGGTTCTTGAAGCAGTGTATCCTTGAAAACGTAGGCTGGAAAGTTTCGTGTTTTCTTGGGCAGATAAATGTCCCAGCTTGTCTCCAAACGTTGTTGCACATGAGAAGGCACATGTTAATTAAGCACATATAGTCTAGCAAAACAGGTTCTGCAAACCAGAAAAAGTGTGCAAGTGGGCGGATGAGGAATTTTCTTAAGCCCCATGGAAGTTTTGGCGCAACAGCATGGCCTTCTTAGTCTGATTTATTCGAACACAAGGGCGGTGTTGTCCGTAGATCTCAGGCGTTGATGGAAACTCACAAGGGTTGAGCAGTCAAACTGTTGTCTCTTCACAGCTCATCCTCCTGCCTGCGCCTGCTCCCCCGCGCCTTCCACAATGAACACCACCTGTCCTTCCCCAGCATCCCTCAACTCCAACTTCCGCCATCCATCTTCCGCCAAGCAATCGCATCTGCCACTGTCCAATTTCTAGGTTTATTGAAAAACCCTTTTTTGCCGCTCTGACTTCAAGTCCAACCAGTATCATTAGTTGCGCTTAAAAATAAGTGAGAGCACGCCACCAACGCATCACAGCCATCCTCTGCAACCCCAATCTTATTCATGCACCTCCGCTCCAGCTCGCGGAGTAGTGATTAGTTTTCAAGTTCACGCACAAGCACCCGCCAAATCGTCCGATCGTTATCTCCATTCGTCGGACAACGGCGTTTCAAAGCCTCAGCCACGCCACTCAGCCTTTCATTCTTGTGTTTCTTCGTCTCGTACTATCAATGCTGGTGCTTCAACCTACTACTTCTAGTAACGACTTCAGCTGGGCATCCGCTCTCAAAAGTACGTTCGAGGTCAACTGCCGCGCAGACGAGTTTGGCTAATATTATCGATTTTAAAATCACGATAAGATTAAAAATGCCGTCAGTGCTCGATCGAATAGTTGTCAACCATAGAGACGAACTCAAGCTGTCCAACCGTATATGCATTAAAATGCACAGCGTGGAATAAACTGGTCCCCCGGAGCCTCCCCCACCTCCCCCTTTTTTCGACTAACAAGTTTCCCCGCCTGACAATATAATTTCATACAAAGAAGCTCGGAGAATCGGGATCCTGTATCCTGCTTCTGGCCATCCTCTTTTCCCATCGTTTGGGTCGCGGATCTATTTAGCGAGTCGCTGCTCTAAGACACACTTCAGCAGCCCCCCTAATTTTTTCCCATCCGTGTCTTTCCATGGTACCCTCACCGCGTTGTCAGTCCCTGTCCTTTTTGAGTTCGGGTTATGTCAATTAAATTACACTCCTATTCTCCTTCGCACAAAAGTCCCTTACGTCCTTACACTTGTTACCATGATTCGCCCTAGCCCTTTTGCTCTCCGCCTTCTTCAAATCTCTTGAAGCTTAAGTTACCACATGTGTGTGGTAAAGATCCTACGCCTCCAGCTCCATTTCACCTCTTATACTTTGTGCAGAGTGTCTTCGATGTTATTCCATTTAGAATATTCCTCCTCTTCCTATCCCCTCCCTTCCCGACCTCCAATCCCTACCTGAGTTGGGCAAAACTCCCCATGGCTCCATCTCAAGATCCCTCCATGACTCCAACTCCCCTACCATTCCTCCAACGCTGTGCCCCCCCACCCTCCCTCCCAACCCCTCTTTTTTGTTCCCACCTGTGTCCTTACATGGCAATTCCCCCACATTGTCTCTCCTTAACCTCTACTACCTACATTGACAGAAGACCCCCTTCACTATCCACTCCTGTCCCTACCTCCCCTTTCATGCCATTCTCCCCACGTTGCCTCTCCTTCATCCACCACTACCTACTACATCAATAGAGGCCCCAGATCTCCAATATCCAGTCCTGCCTCTACCTCTCATCATGCCTTCTTTCATGCCATTTGCCTCTCCTTGACCCCACTCAAGTTACGGAAGCCCCAGGCCTCCACTTCTGCCGCTACCTCTCATGCCGTTTTTAAGCCTTTCGCCCCACATTGCCTCCTCCGAACCCCCACCACTACATGCACTGACAGAAGCCCGAAGCCTCTCCTAACCACTGCTGCCTCAACCTGTCATGCTTTCTTCATTCACCCCCCTCACATCACCTCGGCATGACCTCCACTACCAGAGGATAGAAGAAACAACGATCCCCGGCTGATCATTCCTGGCTCCACTCATAAATTCCTAGACATTCCCGCTTGGTGCTATTCCCGTCGCACTGTCTCTCCACATCCCTAGCCTCTCTGTTGACTGAAGCTCCATGCCTTTACCAAACTCTCCTGGCTCCACCCATAAAATTCCTGGCCTTGCCATCTTGATGCAACTCCCCTCGCTCTGTCCGCTCATCCCCAACCACTACATATGTTGTCTGAAGTACATACATCAACCAAACGCTTCCGTTTTTACAAATAAATCTGTAACTAATACCCTCTTGATGCTAATCCCCTCGCATTCTTTCCCCTCCTCCGTCTCCTCCTCCTCCTCCTCCTCCTCCTCCTCCTCCTCCTCCTCCTCCTCCTCCTCCTCCTCCTCCTCCTCCTCCTCCTCCTCCTCCTCTCTCCTCCTCCTCCTCCTCCTCCTCCTCCTCCTCCTCCTCCTCCTCCTCCTCCTCCTCCTCCTCCTCCTCCTCCTCCTCCTCCTCCTCCTCCTCCTCCTCCTCCTCCCCCCACCCCTCCCCCTCCTCCCCTCCCTCCGACGCCTTCTCCCCCCCCTTCCCCCTCCCCTTCCTCCTCAGCCTCCTCCTACGTCTTCCCCCCTTTCTGCTGCTCCACTCTAGTCGCCGAGACCTCTACCATTTTCAGCTTTTGATGCGATTCCTCTCTACATTGCCTCTCGTCTTCCTCAGCCAATATCTGTGTCGGTAGAAATCGCAGGCCTGCGCTAGGCGTTCTTCTTTGTTATGTCATCCCTCCCACGCTGTTTCTCTTCCTCCTCAACCATTATCTGTGCTGGCAGAAGCCAGCGCCTGTTTTTTGAGAATTCTAGCACCTGATTTTTTAGAATTCTAGCGTGTGTTTTTTGAGAATTCTCAAAAAACACACGCTTGAAGCCAGCGCCCAGCACCGCCACCTCTTCCCACTCCGTTTCAAGTATTTCATGCTCGATTAACCCCCCCCCCCCCCCCCCCCCCCCCCCACACCCCCCCCACGGTTTCTGTCCTTCCCATTGATTGTTACGTTTCGCAGAGGTTTTAGATCCCCCCAAATATTCCTGGCGCAATGGCGGACAACGAAGGGCCATGGAACAACCAGTGGCACTTGCTGCAGCAGAGCCAGCAGCAGGCGGAGGAGCAGCAATGGAAGGGAACGGAAGAGCAGCAGTGGAGAGGAGTGGAGGAGCAGCAGTGGCGGCAAGAGGTGCAGCCGCAGTTGTTTGGTCACCTGCTGGGGCATCAGCACTTGGATGGGGATGCTGGGCTGAGGGTAGGTGCAGACTTGGATGAGCAAACGCTGCAGCAGCAACACCAGCACCAACAGCAGCAGCATCAGCAGCAGCAGCAGCAGCAAGAGCAACATCATCAGCAGCACCAGCATCAACAGCAGCAGCAGTGGTTCTCACGAAACCCAAGCATGGAGGAGCAAGCAGGAAGCGCTGCTGCAAGCCTGCTAGCATCCGCACCCATTCTGGACCACTCTTTGGATCAATCTCCCTCTAAAGCCCTCAACTTCCTCTCGCAGAATCACAAGCACATGGTTGCAGGCGCCTGTGGGTGGAGCTCTTCTCCCTCAGGGGGGATAGAAAGAGGCTCGGGATCCCTAGCGCCCGCAGCACTAGCGGCGCCACCACCAGCACTAGCGGCGCCACCACCAGCACTAGCGGCGCCACCAGCAGCAGTACGAGCAGCATCAGCAGCATCAGCATCAAGACCAGCGCTCCCGGCGTTGCCAGCAGCGTCAGCGGCAGGTGGTGCTGGTGCTGGTGCTGGTGCTGGTGCATCAAGGGCATTGGCCCATCGAGAAGACAACACCAACGCCCTGTCTGTTCATCCCCAAACCCTCCTCCCCACAGGCGGCAGCAACCCTACCCACCCCCCCAACCACCTCAAATCAAACTCTGACTCCAAATCCCTCTCCGGAGGCTCGGGAACAGCCCAGCCTGCCGAGCCTGACTCGGGGAACGCGGCAAGCAGCGCCAAGCCTGCGTCCAACAGCTGCGGCGGCGGCGACCCGAAGCTGTTTCGGGGGGTGCGGCAGCGGCACGAGGGCCGGTGGGTGGCCGAGATTCGCTACCCTAAGAAACGTTCCCGTGTGTGGCTTGGCACGTTCAACACCCCGGAAGAAGCAGCTAGAGCGTACGACCGCGCCGCTGTGAAGCTACGCGGGCCCAAGGCACGCACTAACTTCCCTCACCCGGCTCTGGCGGAATGGCAGCCTTTGCCTGGGTATGTTGGGGTGGAGAAGGCGATCAGTGAGGCGAGGGAGAGGGGTGGAGGAGATGTGGGTGCGTCAGGGGTGGCTGGGTGGGTTCAGGGGTCAGGGTTTAACGCTGCTGGAAGCTCTGTAGGCGGCAAGGGAAGGCAGGCTCAGGTGGTGGTGTCTGGGAGTGGTGGTGGGGAAGGGGGGTTGGTGGGGGGAGTTGCGGCAGGGGGGATTGTTGGGGGGCAGACAGGGTTAGGCGGTGGGGGTGTGGGGGGTGGTGGATCGTTCGGTGGGCTGTTGGAAGGGCAAGGAGGAGGAGGAGGAGGTGGTGGTGGTGGTGGTGTTGATGCTAGTGGCATGATTGGTGGTGGGATTGGTGGTGGTGTTGGTGGGGGGATGAGAGGGCCTGTGGGTGGTTTGGATGGCACCACTCTGCAGCAGCTGCAGTCTTTGGGGATTCTGCCTGCTGTCGTAGGTGGTCTGCAGCAGCAACACCAGTTGCAGCAGCAGCAGAAGCAGCAGCAGCAGCAGCAGCAGCAGCAGCAGCAGCAACAGCAGTTTGGGTCATCTTTAGTGCAGCGCCAACAACAGCCCCAACAGCAGCAGCAGCTGCAGCTGCAGCAGCAGATAATGGGTGCTCTGGCAAACCAAGGAGGAGCAGCCGCAGCATCAGCAGGAGGAGGAGGAGAAAGTGCAGCGGGGCAGTTGGAAGCATCATCATCAGGTGCAGCAGCAGCGGGACCAGCCATACAGAGAGCTCTTTTGGAGCTTCTGGTGGCAAACGCGGGCGGAGCGGGCGGGGCGGGTGGAGTGGGTGGGGCGGGCAGTGGTGTGTCGGAGCGTATTCTGCTGCTGTCGCTGCAGCGGCAGCTGGAAGCACAGCAGCGCCAACAGATGCTGCAGGCTCTGGCGCAGGCGCAGGGGGGGCAGGGAGGGGGCTTGGGGCAGGGGCAGGGGGAGAGCTTGGGGCAGGCGGGAGGCGTGGGGCAGGGGCAGGGGGGGACGGTGGCGCAAGGGCATGGGGGCGGAATGGGGCAAGGGCAAGGGGGAGGAATGGGGCAAGGAGGCATAGGGCAGAGGGAGTTGGGGCAGCAGCAGATGTTCGGGCAGCAAGGATTTGGACAGGAAATTTCTGGGCATGGTAATGTGCAGCTGCAGGATTTGGGGCAGGCAAATTCTCTCTTACAGGGGCTTGTGCAGGGGCAGGGGCAGGTGCAAGCGCAAGGGCAGGGGCAAAGAGGAGAACAGTTGGAGAATCAAGGAAAGCAAGCCAGAAGGGAGAATTCGAATGGATCTGAAGAGTCATCGACCGGGGTGAGTGGTGCTGGGAGTGCTGCTAAGGGCGCTGTTGCTGGTGGTACTGGCAATGCTGCTGTTGCTGGTGCTGGTGGTGGTGGCGGTGCAGTTAGTGTGGGCAATATAGCAGGACTATCACCAGCAACAGGCGCAGCAACAGGACTGTCTCCCCAGGGGCGGATATCCAATCCGGGGTGGTCTGGAGGTGGGCTAGCTGGGGGAGGTGCCAACTGGCAAGGGGGAGGTGGGAACCCTGCTCTGTTGCAGCAGCTTTCTATCCAGGCGTTTGCTCCTACTGCTGGCTCCTTGGGAGCGTTGCAGCACCAGCAGCATCAGCCGCATCAGCAGCACCAGCAGCATCAGCAGCAGCGTCAGCATCAACAGCAGCAGCAGCAGCAGCAGCAGCAGTCCCCCATGCAACGGCTGCAAAACCAGCAGCAGGTGCAGGGCCAGCAGCAGGGGCAGAGTCAAGTGGCAACATCCCAGCATCAGCACTTGACTGAATCGCACCTGCTGCAGGCAAGTCAGCAGTTGCAGCTGCAGCAAACATCGTTTCTGAACCAGCACCAGCAACAGCCTCAGCAGCAGCAGCAGCAGCAGCAGCCCCGGCAGCAACCACAGCAGCCGCAACAGTTCCAGCAGTTGCAGCTGGCGCAGTTGCTGCAGCTGCAGCAGCTACTGCCGCAAAGTGAGCAGAACCAGCAGCAGCAGCAGCAGCAGCAGCTGCTAGCAGCGTTCCTGCAGCAGCACGGAAGCAGCACGTTTGCTGGCAGCAGCAATGCTGGTGGTGATGGTGGTAGCGCTGCTGCTGCGGCTGGTGGTACTGCTGGTGGCAACGGGGGGGCTATTATGGATGAACTCTTTCTGCAGCAGGCGAGACCAAAATAACTTCTGAGGCGCATCAAAAGCAGCACGGAAGCAGCAGCAGTATAGATGGCGGTGCTGCTGATGCAGGTGCTGCAGGTGTTGCTGGGGGCAAGGGAGGGGCATCGTGGATCGGCTCTTTCTGCAGCAGGCGAGACCAACATAAGCACCCGTTCATTCACCCAAAAACCCACCCACCCTAACATCACCAGCGCCCGCTGTACGACCCTCCTCTGCTCCCTGCATTAACTCCCTAACCGTTCGCATCACAGGCATCTCACGCCCGCGTAGCTTTCTCTCGCTGCAGCGTGTTCTATCACGTCAGAATCGCAATGCTGCGGACTCCACCGCTCAGTCCTTACGACCAGCAAGCCAAGCCAAACCATACCAAACCAAACCAAACCAAACCACAGCCTCCTCTCTCTGTCACATTGACCTGAAAGCTGCTGAGCTGCACCCCCCCCCCCCCCCCCCCCCCCCCCCCCCCCTCTAGCGCCCTCTAACGGGACACATCACAGCTTCGTCTCGCTGCAGCGTGCTTACCAGAACTGAGCATCACAGCGGGAGCATCACAGAACGCTGTTAAGTCTGCTCCTGAGCATGGGACGGCTTTTGAGGAGCCTCAGAACTGAGCATGGCACAGGCCCGGCTTACCAGAGCAGAGCATGGCACGGGCGCTGCGAAACAGGTGTGAAGAGCTTTTCTGATGCGCCTCAGCATTCGCCCTTGAGAAAAAGGTGTGAGGAGCGTTAGAGTCGACTGAAGAGCCTGGAAAGAGGGCATGGCTGTGCAGATCAATGCAATGCTGTGGTTGAATGTGAAGGGGATGGTTAATGGAAAGCGGCCGATCAATGCAAAAGGGGTGTTTGACGCAAAGGGGATGAGCAATGCACGGTAGATGATCAATAAAAAGGAAGAAGGGTGGTGATGGCATTCATTAGCTTCCGCAGGGTGGTGATGGCATTCATTAGCTTCCGCAGGGTGGTGATGGCATTCATTAGCTTCCGCAGGGTGGTGATGGCATTCATTAGCTTCTGCAGGGTGGTGATGGCATTCATTAGCTTCCGCAGGGTGGTGATGGCATTCATTAGCTTCCGCAGGGTGGTGATGGCATTCATTAGCTTCTGCAGGGTGGTGATGGCATTCCAAAAACCACCTGCGGAAGCTAATGGGTCTGTGCCGGTCGCTGCAAGGGGAGGGGGTGTGAGAGTGGGATGCGGTAATATGCAGTGGGATGGGACGAGAGGGAATGGGATAAGGTGGGATGGGATGAGAGGGGATGGGATGGGATGGGATGGGATGGGATGGGATGGGATGGGATGGGATGGGATGGGATGGGATGGGATGGGATGGAATGGGATGGGATGGGATGGAATGGGATGGGATGGGATGGAATGAGATGGGGCAGGAGGGGATGGAATGGAGGGGGTGGGGAAGGGAGGCCCGTAACCTCGTGTGCCTGAAAGGAATTGGAAGGAGGATTCGTCAACGGCTGTGAGCTGAAGGGAGCCACAGCTGCGAGCTGTGAGCTGCATCTGCTGTGTCTTTTGAGCCACACCTCTTGAGAGGAGGGACTCAAGGTTTGTCATTCAGTAGTGGTTTCGGCTTTGCGTGTCTGAGAGAGGGCTCTGTCTCTCAATGGGAGCTCCGAGCTGCACCTGCCATGCAAGCACTGTGCACGAGAATTGAGAATCCCTCTGCAGCGTGTTTGGGATTCCCTCAACTGCGTCTTGTGAATCCCACAATCGTGTGCCTGAGGAAGGGTAGCAGCAAACGACTAACACACTGAAACTACCAACCGTCGTCTTAACAGGGCGGTTTCACAGGACGATCTAACTGGGTGGATTCAAGCAGCACAGCCTACAACGCAGCTGTTGTGGGGGCAGCAGTGCCCTAGATATCAGACTTTGGAGTCTGAATCAGAGTCCGTTCATACTTTTTTTTTGTACCTAGTCTGAACTTGAAGAATTTATTTACATGTACCTTGTCTGATTTTCCAGAGTTTTTTCTTATGAGTTGTCTGAAATTTCAGCCTAATTTTACTAGGGTAGGCTGAGCCTCAAACTTGTATCGGGTCGGGGGTACACTCTGCGCGCTTATCGGAGCAAAGTTTCCTGGAAGTTTCCTTCCGATATGCCCACTTCCGAGATGGCAGTGGAGTGCCAGGACGTGAGCAACACTCACTTCGACAGCTGGGACATCCAAATACACTCGTTCGTCGAGAATATCTTCCAGCTACGCTGAGGAAATGGTTGCGTGATTACGAGATTTCTGAAGACAAAATCTCGTCACATGTAAGTTATCGCTAATGTATTGTAAAGAATAGGCGACTTTGATGCTGATTCGCTATAAAAACATCTGCAGCACGCACTGGTGTGAATTGCGAAGTTCCTGATTCGTACTGAAAGTTTCGTGTGGCACTGTCTGATCCTCGCATGCCACGCCAAGCAACAGTTTCTGCCTACAGATCGGGTGAACGATCGAATCGCTTGAAAAGCAAATCCAAAACTGACAAAATCGGCACACATGCGAGAAAATGGGTACAGAACGGTAATCACACACACGACAAAACGAAATGAGATCAGCAGAGCAGAAGCAACCATGCGCTGCACGTGACAAAAACGCTGGAACGCCGCCGACATGAGCAGAGGCGATGCACGAGCACGAGCACGTTGCCTGATGCGTTGGTATGGTAGGCTGTAATCAGCCTCAATGCTATTATAACTGCTTTTACGAAACTGCATGAACATCTTAAAATTTGAAGTAACTCTGACAGTTCAGACAAAAAAAATTGTGCTTGTCTGAATTTTCAGACTAAAGTTTTGAGGCACCTCTGACAGACAGAGTTCCAGGAGGGGTGTACTCTGAGGCCTCAAACTACCTCAAAACGAATCTAGGGGCCTGGGGGGCAGCTTTTGGGGCACCTCAAAGGTCACAGCAAAAGGCATGTATGGAAACAGGTGGGGTGGAGGCAAATGGCTGATTGGCCATCCGAGCCAGGGGGTCAGATAGAAGCTGGGAAGGTTGTGATGATGGAAGGAGTGGGGCGAGCAGGCTGCTGCAGTGACCGAGGGGAGGGAGGGCAGCTAAGAGCAGGGTGCTTTCTGAGTGGGCTCGGAAAAAGGGCGCGTTGCTTCTGAAGAACACGAGCCCAGGTAGGAGTTAAGGATCGCTACCTTATTGTCTCAGGTAGGAGCAGTTAAGGTAGCCGTCTCAGAGTGAGTAGTGGGGCAATAAGGCATGGTGATAGTGCTGGAAATGCAGACATGGAGAGACACGGGGAGGGGCAGGAGGCGAACCGGGACAGCGGGGGCAGGAGGCATTTGACGCAGTAGTGGCAGGAGGCACGGGTGGTGGAGAGTGGTGGAGGGTGGTGGAGAAAGGTGATGAGGCAGGGAGGTGGACGACGGTGATGGAGAGTGGTGGAGGGTGGTGGGGGGTGGTGGAGGGTGGTGGATGAAGGTGGAGGAGTGGTGGACAGATGGAGGAGCTTAGCTGACAGCTTAGAGCTTCAATAGGAGTGTGAATGCGCTAGGCTCTCTGGTGGGTGCTGTGGCCAACGGATGTAGTGAGTGTGAAGCGGCATCGATCTGTGTGTGAACACTAATTGATAGGCATTCGTGCATTCTTTCAATGCCATTCAGATGCATTGTCACAACAACCCAATCTCCCTCGGTCTCCCTCGATCTCCGTCACTCTTCCTCATTCCCTCAGTCCCCCTCATCCTCCCTCGTGCTCTCTCACACTTCTAGCAGATCAGCCCATTGCTTTCCAAATACACAGTACCGCGTTCTCCTTTGTTCCCCCTCACTCTCCCTCATCTCCCTCTTTCTCCCTCACCCCCCCCGTCTCCGTTGTTCTCTCTCTATCGTCCTCATTCTCCCCCGGTCTCCTCACCCTTCTACCCTATCAAACCCAGCCCGTTGCTTCTCACATTCACAGCGCCCCATCTCTGGCCAAACGCACGGTAACTGGTGTTCGCTTCCTCAACTGTTAGAATCAACCTTCAAGAGTTGGGTACAAGTATGAAACCCTAAACGGGGCTGTACCCAGGGCCCAAAATATTAGGGTAAAACGCCCTGATTACCATGGGGGTCGGCCGTTTTTTCAGGATTACCCTGCCAAAATCAGGGATGCGAATTAGTTGCCCTTCTCTTAAAAGAACATGTTTTTTTTTTACCCTGACTGGTTTTAAGGTTAGGCTGACGGAATCAGGGTGTGGTGTACACTACCCTTTTACCAAAACTTTTCTAACGCGAATCAGACCACAGTCCGCTTTGTGACAAAATGTACCACACCCCCACAAACACCGGTTGTCGCTTGTGCCCACGCGCAAAACAATGCCTCGCTGTCGGCAACGCGCCATGTTGCTTCTTTTGTTGTTTCTCCCGCAGGGCTGCCAGCTCATTCTCGAATCTTGCCACCCGTCGCCACACCCACCGTCAACACAGCAGAATTTGCTGTCAAGCTGTCCTTGACAACAGAATGCAGCAGCAGTCCTGCCGTGCTGGCCATACACTTCCCGCTTCGTGGAAGAAACGGCCCTTGAGAGGCAGCCAGGGGGTCGTTCTCTTCGAGGGGGTCTCTCGCTTGGCCCTCATTCTCAAACATGCTCCAACTTTCACCTCAACAATGCCCACTAGAGAGCCCGATCCACCGTATGGCGCGAGAAACGACCTCTCTGTGCTGGGCGTTTTACCACGCCTTAGCGAGAACTACGCCGTGCCCATCGCTCAGCCGCCGCCTCGTGAGCCATCACCTCAATTTTTGGTAGGAACGGTTTATCCGTTCGAGCCGCCAGACTCACCCACGGCGTGGGAGCCACATCCTGACATAAATTTGGTTCCCGGAGGAGGCGAGGGCTCGTCAAAGCCGCCTACTGCTTCGCCTTTGACGGTCAGCACCGCGCCCGTCAAGCGACCGCGTGTGGGAGTTACGTACAAGCAGCAGACGCTGTGGGGCGCCCCTCCTCCGAAAAACGCTACTTCACACAAGCGCCCTACTCCTTCGGCCGACCCGAGACCACCCACCGCTCTGGCGGATGCTGAGTATGAGTCGGTGAAGAAGACGTTTGAGGGTCAGTGGGCAGGTAGCTTCAAGTGGTTACGTTTGCTCCGCATGTCTAACGGCCGTCCGTCTTTGAAGTGTGCGATTTGTGTGAAGCATGGAGATCCACTGGCGCACACCACGTACGGGGCGAAGGGGGAAGGTGCTCGGGACCTCCAGATCGGCAGCATCCGCGCTCACACCTCCTCCCGTGCACACAAGGAGTCGCTGGAGAATCAGGAGAAGGCGGAAGCGGAGAAGGCGAAGCAGACCTCAATCACACGATGGCAGGCTACAGACGCTTCCACACGGCACATCATTCGGCTCCTCCACATCGCGCACTTTGTCTGTAAGGCCGATGCACCCATAGCGATGTTCGTCCCTCTGTGTTGGTTTTTGGCGAAGGAGGGGTTACCAGACCTGCCTCCCGCTGGCAGCTACGGCGCGTACTACACAGAGTAAGTGGCTGCTTGATTTGGTGTTTCTGATGTGTTCGATATTATCCACTGTGGTATTTAACCACCCATGTTGTCCCCTGGCAGTTACGGCTTCAAAGAGAACCTGCGCGCCCTCTCAACATACCTTCAAGAGACACAGCGCCAGCACCTGCTCGAATCCCCGTGGATAGGGATTCAACTCGACGAGAGCACGGACCGTGTGAATGGGAAACACCTCATTCTATACGCCACGTTCTTCCAGCGCACCACTGTGGTTACAGAGTTCTTGACTCTGATTACTGTTGACCATTGTGACGGTGCCTCACTCACATCCGCTGTTGTGCAGTATCTGACAGGTATCGGGCCGGATCTCCAGAAGATATCCAGCGTCACATCCGATGGTGCCAGCGTCATGGTCGGCAAGAACCGAGGGGTCGTGACACGTCTTCGCATGCGCATTCCGCATCTGGCTTCAACACACTGTATCGCGCATCGGTAAGCATCACCGTTGTGTGCTCCGTGCTGCTCGCTTACCAAGTGCTGACGCTGACTAACAATATGTCGTGTTTCCTCTATGTACAGGGAGGCACTAGCTGCCAATGATGCTGCAGAAGAGGTACCTGACCTGCTAATGATCGACGACGTCGTGTGCGCCTTCGTTGACCACATCGGCCGCAGCAGCATAGACTACGCGAAGTTTCAAGAGATGCAGCGGATTTCTACCAGACGAATCTCGAGGCGCAGGGGATTAGCGACACACGATGGCTCGCCCGCGGTGAAGCGGTACAGTGCCTGCTAGACGTGCTCCTTGCGGCCATTGTGGTGATGAAGGATTACAAGGCGGATCTGTACGAGGTGGTGACCTCGTTCGAGTTCCACTGGCTCATCCGCTTTCTTGCGGATGTGCTTTGGGAA